GTGTTCGGCTAGCAGGACAGCAAGTGTAGTCTGGAGAAATCTGAAATGTTTCAGCTTTTCTTCTCAAAAAAAATCTGAGAGGAATTCCACTCTCATTTTAGGGAAGAAAACTCAGTAGCAATGCTTTGGAGACAAGCCACATGAAGTAACGGTGGAGAGGAAATCTGAGAGGGAATAACCTTGCTTTCCACTCTCAGATTTTGAAATCAGGAGTAAAAACTGAACTTACGTTGGAGTGGGGAGGCATTTGGGAGGTAATTAAGAGGAGATGAGGTGGCAATTAGAAAGAGAAGCAATGGGGTTGAGGTGGCCGGCCATAAGGAGAGGGAAAGGCTTAGCATTAACTCACATGGGGCCCCCAATTTAATAACAGATTTGTTCAAAAATCTGGAACGGAAGTTCCATATTTCAATTAAGAGGAAAGTTTCCTTATTTATGGCCCTTAATTGAATGTATTTGGGATTTCAAATTGGATGGTGAAAGTTTATTTGAAATCAATTTCAATTTCAAATAGGATGGGCATTAAAGGAGCAATCAATGGGGAGAGCTCCTTCATGGGGCCGGCGGCATGGTGAGAGGGGGGGAGGGAAATTAGGGAGGGATGAGGCGTTTTCCAATTGAGTCGATGCCACCTAGGATGAAAAATTAATAATTCCACATGTCATAAAATTTGGATTGGATCAATTCGAAAACTTTCCTTTTTAAGAATTTTGCAAAAATGGAAAGTTTGAATTTCAAATTTGAAATTCAAAAATCAGTAACTCTTTTATTTATTGCTAGGCCACAATCAAGGAGCCATTATGATGATTGGCATCTTCATCATGGCTTGGAGCAAGGTGGTGGCCGGCGGCCAAAGGAGGAAGAGGGGCTTGCCATCGGTTTTGGGAATTTCTTGGTGGATCTTGGGTTGTGGTGGAGGAAGCTAATGAGTAACCTAGTGAATGATGGGAACTCGGGTAGGGCTTGGCGTAGGGAGGAGGAAAACGAGATTTGGAGAAGAAAACAATAAGATAAAAATAAACCACGAGTCAAGGACGCTTCCAATGACTAGCGGGTATTGCTTTTGCCCTCACCTTGGGCTTTCCCTAGAACTCACACAGAAATCTAGGAGAAAAGAACTCACTAAGAGATCTTCAAGAAGGAACTCACAAAGAGAACACAGGAGCAAAATTTTCAATCAATAATCATCATCTCAATACAAGAAAGCTAGCCTATAAATAGACCTCATGAGAAGAAAAAATAACAAAGACTGAAAATGCCCTTCGGGCTACAACACTACATGACCACCCATAAGGGTATAAAGGAAAAAACAACAATATGAAATAAACTAGTACAAAAACATATAAATAAATAACTCAAGATCGTAGCCGTTGATCTACGATGTCCTCATCACCTGAACCAGCCCAAAGGTTGTCTTAGGTCTAAAGGAGGCGAACAAGTGTTGCCTTTGTTCTGGTCGCCCACAATAGTGGGCCCCACTAGTCTAATTGAATTCAAAATTGAAAAGGAGGGAGCGGCTAGGGCTTGGGAGGGAAGTTAGTTTAGGAAAGTTTATATATTAAAGAGCATGAGAAGTTTTAGGGTGATGTTATGCTTGATTTTATTTTCGGTTAGGGTTCCTTGGTGATTTGGACTCTAGACGGTCTAGAGATTTGGGAGAGACGCTCCTCCTCTCTAATTGAGGATCACTTGTATCTTGTTCCAGTGATTGTTTGGCTTTGATTTTTGTATTGCAATCTATCATTTGTGCTGATTTCTCCCAGATTTGGTGCTATTCTCACTGTTTTTCACCAATTGGTGATAGGTTTACTTGCAAACTCAAGTATTACCCTTAGACTTACTTGCGAACTCAAGTATTTCCTATCAAAGACCTTATAATCATTTCGATATTTCAACCCTTGAGTTTGAAATAAATTTGTTTCCACAGTTTTGGCTTTTAATTTGTTTTGTTTCCATTTATATCACCAAGAATGAAAGGAATGCTAGCTAATTTTCAAGTAGAAAGAAAGTGGAGAAGTTCATTTGGTTTGGCAAAAGGAAAGAAGTTCATTTTGATCAACAAAATCCTAAAGGAGACACTTTCAACTAGTCCTCTCGAGCTCTATTCTTGTTCCACTTAACTGTCCTTTTTGTTTTGTTTATCCCTAGCGTTCATCCTTTTCTTCTAATAATTGCTTTGTAATCCTTTTTTTATCTAGTGAGAAAGGTTCACCAGATATTAAATAACAAAGAAACTTCTTAGCAATATTATTCCATTCATTTTTTATTTAACATATACTTTATTTTTTAGCTTTTTTCCTTGTTAAGGACATTTTAGTTCTTTTTTTCTAAGAGGTCATTCTAAATCTGACCTATCATGGTTATTGGAACAGCACAAATTTTAGCTGAAACAAGAGGCATGGGAATTTAATAAACCCTGCTGGACACTACTCCCCAAAAAAATAGCCTTTCTAAGGATTCAATGCCATTACTTAAAGATATTGCAATGCGATGCTGTGATAACTCAGTTGTATTTATATTGTTCAATTCTGTCTTCCACCATCTTCTTCGCATTGTTGCCCGCACCTCTTTGGACACTATGGAAGGCATATCTCCTCCCAGTTAAAGCTGTTCCAGATTTAGCCCCTAACAATTCTGTTGGCTAAATAAATCACATAAATATTTTTGCGAACATGAGTTTTCTCCTGCACCCTTCCCACAAAATATTTTACTTATAACAAAGAAGCTTAAAAATATACAAGTTTGTTCTACAATGAGTGCATATTCTAGGCTTCCAGTAGCAAGTAATGACAGAAAACTGTCATGTATAAGAGATTGAAATATATGCCAGCAAAAGTAAACGCTTTTTTATAAATACATCAACAAAAGAAACAATAATATTTCATAAATTGCAACAAAACAGTATGACTGTAGAATAACTCTTTCAAACCAGATTTTAAGCTCAATATCTGCAAGGATATGTTCATCATTAGCAAGTTATGCAGGATTATATAAAAGGTATATACAAAGAAAAACTAGAAATTCACGAAGGAAAGATATAAGCAACATCAAAAGCTCACCCAGTCCACAACCGTAACAACCTCACTCCCTTCTTCCTAACACCCACATCAATATCTGTCAACCATAACTCTTATACAGCATAATCTATGATGTAGAACGGGAAACGGGAGGCTTTGCTAAGGAGAGGATCTCTTAAAGATCACTTAGTACTTGATGCGACTCTTGAGTAGTAATCAAAAGAAACAAGTTTTTGAAAGGGAAGAGGAAGTAAGCTCCCAAACCTCTTCCTATCAAAATCTGAAAACAGTTTCAGATTTCTAAAAAAAAAATCTGAGATGAATTTCCAGATTTTAGGAGAATAGGATTTAGAGAAGGTTGGGGGAGGAGTCAAGCCTCAATGGAGATGATAAAGCTGAGAATAAATTCCAAACTTCAGGTTCTGCACTAGAGAATCCGTCTGGAGCAATTAGTAGAGAGGAGGGAGGCTGTGGAGCATGAGAGGCGGTAAAAAAAAGGAAAGCAATAACTGAGCCGGAATTAAAGGAGGTGGGGCTTGGGATTTTCGGCCAAACAAAATTCTCAGGTTTGGAAATATTTCCGAAGAGAATAAATTGGCTAAAGGCAGATTTTCTATTCTAAATCTAATGGGGAGGCCGGCGGCAGTTAATGGAAAAAGGCTTGAGATAAATTAATGGGGAGAATTAAGGCTTCCTAATTTAGTTTTGTGAATTAGGAAAGTGTTAAATCAAATCCAATTTGAATTTAAAATTCAAATTGATTTCAATTAAGCACTTTCAAAAATAGGTGAATTAAATTAGGAAAGAAATTTGAATTTCGAATTTTAAACAATTTGAATTTCAAATTAAGTCCTAATATCATGCACCCCAAATTAGGAAATCCAAGGAGAGAGGAGAAAAGGATGAAGCCGGCGGCTAGGGAGCCATGGCCGGCGGTTTGGAGGATTTTCTGGTGAGGTGGCCGGCGGCTTATGGCGGAAATGGAGACGACGATGGTGGACGTAGGTAGAGGATGAAGACGACGGCTAGGAAAAATAAGAATGACAAAACAAAAAGATAGAAGATAAAAACCGCGAGCCTTGGACTCTTCCGAAGACTGACGGGTGATGCTTTGCCCTTCTCCAAGGGGACTTCAAGTCACGAGCCCGGACCCATCCTGCAACTGGTGAAAACTCTGATTCCTTTCTATAGCAATCTCACTATCGTCCTCTCAAAAGAACACAAGTGTTGAACACAATTTTTTAATATCAATAATTCATCCCTATTACAATAGCTTAAGACCATATATATAGGCCACAACATAAGAAAACTCAAAATACAAAATTGCCCCTTGGGACACAACACTCACATAAACCAACCTAGGGGTAAAATAGGAAATACATCAAATAAGAATTAAAATTCAAAAAATAACTCATAATTGAATATTTAAATTATAGCCGTCGATTTACGACGCCTCCTGTGATAGATGCGCCAAATCTTCGTACCGATGTCCACATCAATATATCTATTTGTTCTTGCAGTTTATCAGTTCATCAGACAATATAACAAATGTAATATCATATAATATTTACATCTGCAAAAAAAAAATTCCTAGAATTTTCACATACATCATTTGTACCTAGAGAATAAAAAATGCAGAAAATTTGTCTCTTTAACTTGTTATATTCATGCCCAGAATAACAAGAGGGCGGTGCTCAGGTGTAACAAATAAATTCAGAATCTAAGAAAATATTACCACTAGATAGGGCTTGCTTCTTCGCATTGTAAGCAGCAATGAATAATCTCTCTTTCAGTCCCCCAGATGTCTTGACAGCATTCATAACACTACAGGAAGTTATATTTGAAAGTGTCACAATTTGAGAAGCATTCTTAAAAGGAGGAAGTTAATGCAGAGGACCAGAACAAAACCCAGCATAAATTCTGTTATACAGTCGAGGAACGCTTGAGAATATTGTAGGCTGGAGAGCAGCCATATCATCCATCAATTTCAAATTATCCTGAGATCAAATGTTAGTCAATTCGCTCATTAGATGTCCAAAGGAAATTCATGCAATCAAATTGACATAATTAACACTAACTAACAGCATGTTGAGAGTTTTGTTCTGAAATATTGCATGATGCCTCCTAAGGACTCAACTTCTCAGGATTAGTTCTATTTTAATTTTTTTTTTTCCTTACAAGGCAAGGAAACCCTAAGAGTAGTATAATATTCCACTATTTTAAAAATATAAGTTCGAATATTCAATCTGCTGTGGAATCTGTCAATACACCAGATGCTGATTCCATAAGCAAAATTAAGGAGCAAGCACAACATTTCAATTTTAACTTGACAGGTATTCTATTTGCCCTAGCTCCAGTTTGGCAGCAAAAAAAAGCCAACATTTTCACATAACAAATGTCATAAGCCCACTATTGCATCAAAAATAGCCATCGCATACCAAATTGTGAGAACTCTATTTATCAAGATTTTGTCTTAGGAATGTAAGTTGCCATCCACCGTATCTTAGGACAAATTTATCTCAACAAAAACAAAAAAAATGACATCAAGCCTTCATCCAACTATGTGGGGTCGGCTACATGAATCTTTTTCTCCTTTGTGTCCTATTAAAGCCAAATTCTCATTTATATCTAATAAAAAATAAAGGACATTTCTAATATTTTCTAACCAAGTCTTTTTAGGTCTACCCTGCCTTTCTTAACATATGTTGGATCTAATACATCTACTCTACAAACAGCCGATGCTTTATGGGACCAAATCATCTAAGATGACTCTCTCTAATATTTTCTACCATTGGAGCTATTCAAACCTTTTCACATATATACTCATTTCACAATCTGTCTCCAAGTGTAATGTTAGACCAGTCCAGTGGACTGGTCCAGCCGGTCCACGCGGGACCGGCCTAGACACGAACAAAGCGGAGTTTTCCGCCTGTGCGGGATGCCGCGCAAGCCGCACGCCGTGCGGAAGCCGAATAGGAAGTTTTTTTTTTTTAAATTAAGAGGGAAATTTGAATGTAGGGACTATTTAAGGATTTCCTTTTGATTTGTATGCATTAAATAGTTTGTTTTCCTAGGGTTTGAGTATCTTGAATTTGACTGAAAATTTGAGATCTCTTGGATTTCTTTTGGGCTCTAGCGGCGTCTAGAGAGAGAGAATGATCCTCCTCTCGAATAGAGGATCAATTGTATCTTGTTATTTTCCGTTTTCCTTTCATCAAATAATACAAATAATCTCCTATTTCGTGGTTTTGGCGGACTTTTGTGAAGAATTCTTGCTATTTTTCAAAGATTGATAGGAAACACTTGAAAACTTCAAGTGTTTCCTATCAAATTGGAATCAGAGGGAGTCTTGGGACCGTTCGTGGACTGTTTTGGGTGAATTTCAACGGCTGATTTTTGGTCGGGAATAAACAAAGTGCAGTTTTTGTAATCCAATTTGAAATTTTTGGATTTACAAAAGTCCGGATCGAGATGGCGACCAAGGAAGTTGATGCACTAGAAGAAAGGCTTGAAGGGGAGATGAACCAAATCAAGACAACGGTGGAGGAAAGGATTTCCTTCATGGAAGGACAAGTAGCCGATCTCCGGGGACATGATGAAGAAAATTTTGAAAATTCAAAACCAAACGAAAGCTTCCGTGGCAAAAGAGGAGGAAAGAAAAAACATGAATTCAAAAATTCGTAGGGAGGAAGACGAGGTGGAAATCATGGAGGGAGAAAGAAGAAAACCCTTTCTAGAGCCTTTCCAGAGGGAGGGTAGAGGAGGTAGATATGGGAAAAGGCATGGGTATGGAGGGACGGAGCAGAGGGATGCTGATTGGGAACGCTGAGAGGTACATTATGGTCGCCGAGGTGCTGATTTTGAAAGAAGAGGGGAATTCGAAGGTGGTTTGGGCTATGGCAGGGCAAGGGAAAACCGGGAGACATGAGGTGGGTCGAGCACTTAGGAGAGGGGAAGCTATGGAGGAATAAGGGGGAATGGTGGAGATCAGAAGGTGAGGAAATTGAAGATGCCAATCTTCGAATTCGAAGGGGAGGTTTCGTATTGGTGGATATATAAGGTGGAGAGGTACTTTGCCATTTAATGGGCTAACGGAGGAGAAGTTGACAGCAGCATGCCTATGTTTGGAGGGGAGGGCACTGTCATTGTACCAGTGAAGAGACCAGAGAAGACCTATCAGGGACTGGAGGAAATTCAATGACTGCATTCTTCGAAGGGGAGGATGCGTATGGGTGGATCTATAAGGTGGAGAGGTACTTTGTCGTTAATGGGCTAACGGAGGAGGATAAGTTGACAGCAGCATGCCTATGTTTGGAGGGGAGGGCACTGTCATTGTACCAGTGAAGAGACCAGAGAAGACCTATCAGGGATTGGAGGAAATTCAATTACTGCATAATAGAATGTTTTCAAACCGACCAGGGAAAAGGGAAGAGATTTCTATGAGCAGTTCTTTGCTCTGGCACAGGAGGGGTCAGTAGCAGACTACCAGGAGCAGTTTGAGCACCTAGCCAGTAGGATGGAGCAATTATCAGATAAGGTATTGGAGGGGAACTTCATAAAGGGGTTGAAGGAAGAGATCCGAGCGGCAGGGAAAGTTCTTATGCCTAGTGACTTGGGGGAGGCCATGAAGTTGGCACAGCTGGTGGAAAATCAGAAGACCCTAGAGAATGGGGCCAGGAACAGCAGCTCAGGAGGCTCTTACGGGACAACGACCACTCTTCTAGCACCCAAGGGGCGTACATCAGGCAACATTAATGAGACCAACAGGGAGAAGCATGTAGGAGGGAGTAGGGAAAATTTCAAGAGGCTGGCAGAGAAGGAGATGCAGGAGAGGAGGGCAAAGGAGTTGTGTTTCAGGTGCGAGGAGAAGTATATGCCAGTACATTTGTACAAGGACTGAACTCTTCAGGTTCTCATCGTCTGTGATGACGAGAAAACTGAGGAGGGAGGTGAGGGGAAGTTAGAGGAAAAGAGGGAGAAAAAGTTGCATTTGGATATGGCCGAGGTTTCCCTAAATTCAGTAGTATGGTTCATCTCGAATCATAGGATGAAGGTGAAGGGGGAGATAGTAGGCATGGAGGTGGTTGTTTTGATTGACAGTGGGGCTACCCATAATTTCATTTCCACTCAAGTTCTCAATCAACTGGGAGTGAAATTGGTGGACACCAGTTCTTATGGGGTGATGAAGGGTACATGGAAGGTGGAGAATAGCCAGGGGATCTGTAGAAAAGTGGTGTTGACCATCCAGGGGATTCAGGTAAGGGAGGATTATCTCCCACTAGAGTTAGGAAGTACTGATGTCATACTGGGAATGAAATGGTTGCAAACCTTGGGGGAAACTAAGGACAATTGGGGAGCACTCATGATGGAATTAATAGTGGATAGGAGAAAGGTGGTTATAAGGGAAGATGCAGGTCTATCCAAAGCCAAGGTATCACTTAAGAGTTAAGACCATGGTTAGGAGCCTACAAGAGGTGGGGGAAGCTTATCAGGTGGGATTACACAAGCTGAATGTGATCAGGATAGAGGTGGGAGGGGATGTTTCTCTTTCAGGGCAACCCCTACTTCAGCAATTTGGTAAGGATAGAAATGTTACTTTTCCAAAACCCTATTTTGACTTTAAAACCATTGTAGAATATAGCTTCATTCTCCCAAGACAGTACTTTATTCTTAATGCAGTATTCAATTATAAAATAGGAGAACATTAAATCTGCGGGGCATTTATTTTCCCACAATGAGGACTCTTGCATCAATGACTCGTGATACATTTTCAATTCCTATATCAACTGTCGAATCTGAATATAATTTTTGCATTAGAAAGAAGGTTTTGAACCCATGTCAGAGTTCACTTGAATCAAAGAATATCCAACCAATATTTGTCTTGCTAGGGATATTCTCTAATACAAAATATTATTTATGCTTGTCAATTAGTTAAAATTAATTTTGCAAATGTATTAAGTTTGCTAAGTTTGTTCTTCACATTCTTTTTAGTAAAGGCCATCTTCAAATACAAGAGGATGAGGCATTTAACTTGTCTTTGAAGATTCATCCTCTGCATATGAAGATAAGTATGCCAATCTTAATTTTGACTGGTGAATTTTTTATTAAGAATTAAGGATCTAATTGTCTTTTTTTTTCTTTTTCATTATATAATATAACCATCAGAGCATAACTTTTTTTTCTAGGTATTAAATGCTGACGAAGATCATCTAATAATAAGACGTTTGTGTCTAGTGAAGAAATTAGTTACGTTAAATGGTTGAAGATCAGAGGAAAAAATTAATTATGGACCTAGTTGGGCAGGTCATTGTTGTATTATTTGAACTTTCTTGTCACCAAATTATCTCTGGATGTATGTAATTTGATGTCAAATGATTTGGAATTTGGATGTTAAATTTTAATTGCGTAAGTTTACAGGTTTTTGCATTGCAGTGTTGTATTGGTTTCAAAATATCTCATCCTCTTGGGTTGAGAATCTTAAGAAGGTTTTCCTTCTTAATTTATAAAATTTAAGAGTTGTTTTGGATGCAGGATTTGAGCAGGAATTAACCTAAATCCTACCAAAAAGCAAAAATGACAATTTTAAATCCTATAGAATCTTAAATCCCATTCCTTCTTCTCCATCTTGCCTTAAATTCCGGACTAAGTAAGTCTGATAGTTCTGAGGGTTTACAGGATTTATGATATTAATATATGATAAGTATGACTTAATTAATTTAATTAAGATTTATATTTTTTTATTAGAATTAATAATATTCAATCATGTAAATTATGCAAATAAATTAATCTTAATAATTAATATTAACAAATCAAAATTTAACAAATAAATTGGTATTGCTAAAATTTTATTTGAGTTAATAACTTAACAAGTATTTGAGCATAAATTTGTGGGGAAGAAAGATTTTTATGTACATATTAAGTAAAAAGCTAAATTAATGTTAAGAACTAATGTCAATTACCTTTAAAGATATTTTTTAAACAAATTAATATTGTTTTTAATTTAAATTGATTACATAAAGTTAATTATGCTTAATTAAAAACATTAAGCTAGAGTTAATGATTAACATTAATTAATTAAAAATACGTTTACTTGAGTAAATTGATAATTTTTAATTTTAGTTTGTCGAAGTAGAAGTTATTGCTCAATTAACTTAGTAAATTACTAATTAATGATTAAATAAACATTTAATTAGACTAAGTATGGTTTAATTAGTCTAACTAAGTTGATATGGTCTAAATAAATCTTGTGTAATGGGATGATGAATTGTTAATGAAATTTTATTCTACTTGTTTGATATATTAGTGAGTTCATGAGAGGAGAAGGATCTTTTTATGAGTTCCGAGATTCCCAAGATCTCTTTGTGAGTTCTTGAGGAAGTGGAAGGATCTCTTTGTGAGTTCCGAGATTCCCAAGATCTCTTTGTGAGTTCTTGAGGAAGTGGCGTTTGTAGATCTCTTTGTGCGTTCTATTTGAGGTGTTTCTCAAGATGTGTAGCTCCGGATTCTCTTTTTTCTAAACCCAATTTATTTCTTCTCTACCTAACCAAACTCTCTTCCTCCCAAATCCCCTCCACCGGCCCCCATAAGTCAACCGCCGGCCACCCCAGGCCAATTCCGCCACCGGCGGCTCCGCCGGCCTCCTTGGGACGGCCAAGCCACCGGTCTCCCTCTTGGGAATTTCAAATTTGAAATTCAAATTTGTTTTCAAGAGGCATTGAAGACTTTCCTAAAATAGTTCATTGATTTAAGGATTTCATATTAATTGGAAGTCAATTTGAATTTGAAATTCAAATTAATTCTAATTGATAGCCCCATTATTGGAATCTTTCCTTTATTTCAAAATCTAAATTTTAATTTAGATTTTATTAAATCTTTGGTTAGTAATGTGGGCCCCACTCTACTTATGACAAATAATCTCCTCTCTCTCTCTATGTGGCCGGCCCCATCATTGGGCATAATCTCTCTCTTATCTCATTAATAGCCCCCCTCATTAAGCCTCCCTAATTACCTCCCATAATTCCCTCTCATCAAATTTAATTCGCCCCATTAAATTTGAATTTAAATTTAAATTCATCCCGTCAATTTCACTTAATCTGAAATTTAATTCAGATTTCCATCATCTCTCCCCAAATTGATTTGGGATTTAATTAATCTTGCCACCTAGGCAAGTAAATGGCATTTACGTTTCACATCAAAATATCCCTAGTTCATCAAGATTTAACCTCCATCTTGCCAAAGAGTTCTTTTTATTTAACACCCTTAAAATTTAGCACATCCAAATTTATATGATTTATTAAATTCTACTTGAGTTAAATCTTACTTGAACCCAAACAGCCCATTAATTTTGTTTCCTACTTGATTGCATGACTAGTTTCATGCTTGATTCCATGAAAATAGACGTACTTCACAACCAAATCTAGTGTCAACATCACAACTACACTTTACCACTTCCCACAATTTCCTACCCAGTGAAGATGCTACATTCTGAAAGTTTTTTGTTTGTTTAGAGCTATAATCTCCGTATCCATGTGAATTAGGACTTTCGAGGCACAACTGCATAGTTGAAACCTCCCAGTGAAGCTGCCGACGTGTGAGAGCGTTTGGTTTTCTTAGAGCTATGCTAAGTGTTTTGACTTCGCATTATGAGGGTCGTCTTGAATGTTTTCTATTGATTGTTTTAGTGGAACATTTATGTGATCTATTAAATGTTATTTTCCTTCTTTCTCCTGTATATAGTGGTTGAATTGTTGTTAGGAGGGTGGTTGTTGTTGGTGAAATCAAATGTAAACCTGAGTTTTTTTAGCTAGCGTGGTAGTCTTCTCCCTATCCTCTAATAATTCGTCTCGGTCTTTTTTCTACTTCTCTCCACGGTTTTTCATCCGCATGTATCTTTCTTCTCTTCAATTTAAAAAAAAAAAATAAAAAACTGAGGGTTTCTTAGCTTACAAGCTAGTCTTCTCCCTATCCCATAGTACTTCGTCTCAGTCTTCTTTCTACTTCTTCTCTCCACGGTTTTCCTTTAACATGTATATTTCTTCTCTAACTTTTGTGAGTTGTAATGTGTGTTGTGCCATGTTATATTAGCATTTGTCGTAGAAGCATTGGCCTGTGGTAGATCATAATTCTTATGGTGGATCTGTGATTTGTCCTTTTCTTTGAGTATCTTTTCCAATTTTGTGATTTGCATGTGAGGTGACCATGCATGGTTGTTCTAAGGGTATTTTAATTTAGTTGTTTGGTTTCTTGTGCGTCTTCCTAACTACTTTCTAGGCTTTGTTTCCTACTTATTTTCCATCATTTGTGTTTGTTTATGTGATCTTGAAAGGAAATGTCATAATTTGCATTCCACTTGGAATATTGGATTAAGAATTTAGGTTGCATCACAAACTCGACCAAACAAGCATATCGTTCAGGTCATTGTCCAACCCAATTACCAAGTTGAGTCAGCTTTAGGTATGGGAAGCAAACAGAGAGGCATCGACCCAGAATCCCAAGGAAAGCCTGGCCCAAGGTTAGTTCCACTAACACGGTTTTCACAGATAAAATTATTTTGCATAAATTAAGTTTAAATAGTGAAAAACAGCTGAAAAAAACCTTACAAATGATAAGTTAAAATATGTAAGATGTTAACAAGATATAAATATTTGAATATCCAACATTTAATAATGACCGGCTAAAAAGTATAAAAAAAAACATACAAATGATTCATATCTTATGAAATATTCCACCATCAAGATTTCGAGTTGCCTTCATAATGTGAAGAGTTGAGTGTAAAACCAACAGTGAATATCCAGATTTAGCAAACAAAATTTCAGAATAATTTCTTAATTAGGACTAAAAATAAATAAATCTACACATCACAAAAACAATAAAGCTTAAACAGAAAGAATGGATTGTTACCCACCCCCTGGTAAAATCCAATAGCAACTCCAAAATGTGCCAATGCAATTTGATTGACTCTCTCATAAATGTGTGCCAATGGAAGATAGGATATATATCTGCACATACACAATATGTAAACAGGGCAAGTAACTTTTTTAAAACTAATGAGAGTACTATACTTGAGCTAATTTAGGGTCTATTTCGGGTGTTTGCATCTTTTTAAAAATGAGGTTATAAAATTGTTACAGGAAAAGTAACTTTTTAAACTATTGCAAGTATTATAAATATATTTATTTTGAAAAACATATATTAGAAGATATGACTTCCCATCAAAGTTCAGGAAAGCGGCAGACAAGCTAAAGCCAAACAAAAGCGTGATAGTTATATGAAAAAACAAGGTAACAAAGCTACACCACATAAACTCTCTAAAGAAAAACCTAACAACCTTTCCCCTTGCTAGTTCCATTTCCTTGGGGCAATGGTCATGAGCTGAAGATTGGAAGAATGATAAGAGGTGAGAGGATATAAGGAAGGAAGCAACAATATTTTATTTAAATAAAAGCACCTTCTGTATGCACAAACCACAAATGTGCGGAGTACCTTTGAAGTTAAGGTTGTTCGCAAAAGGAAGCAGCATTGTTTCACATTAGGAATGGATTGAAGAAGTAACCACATAGTAGCACTTGCACATAAGTCAATTATTGTGATTTGATGCATGAGCAAAAACTGAGTCTGCTCTCTTATGAGATTAAGCAAGGGCAATGCCCAGTCCCTCTATATTACTACTTTCACGTGGCGGTGATAATTGATGATGTGAAAGGGGGTGAAAATTGGTAATGTTGCATATGGTGGTGGAAAAAAAAAAGGTTAACTGACTAAGATCAAGAGTAGGCCATGCTGTGGCATAGCTGAACTTCATTTAGAAAAATGAGAGTTTTAACAGTGCTAAAATATAAGGAAACTTGAATAAGAAAAGAGACTAAGACAGATTGATATGTTGGGTGTAAAAAATGATAATGGCAATTTCCACTTGCTTTTTAGAGGTTATTATCATTACCTAGAGGAATAAATGAATTCTAAACTCGAAAATTTTCTACACACATTATAATAGCAAAAATGTTCTCTGCAAAGATAAAGGGGATGGGCTGCAGCGCCTGTAGCCATAGAACTAGATGTAACGATGAATCCAATTAGTGCAAAAAGAAGCACCAGTACCTTGTGATGGCAATGGGCCATCTAGCATGACCACGCAAATTAAAGAACTAGATAGGGATTAGAACTCTGAAAGTTATAGCACTTCCTGCCATGTGCCCAAACAAGTTCTTATCCTACTCCCAATGGCAATGTGCCACCTAGCATAAACATGCAAATTTAATAACTATATAAAGGTTACTAGCTTATTTAAATTCCAATCTAACTTGGCACACTTGTCTTATCACATGCTAGTGACTATAAATCAATCTTCACAAAAAAAAAGAAAAAAAAAGAGAAAGAGAGAGAGAAAAAGCAAAAAAATTAACTGAAAATTAAAATAAATAAATAAATAAAAACACTACCAATTATACCTTAAAAATTAAAAACTACGATATAATTTACCCAATATTTCATAACATGGGACACTCACACGTCATAGGGATAAAATTTGACACTGATGCTAGATCCAGCACAATTTGCAATCAAATTTTCGTGGGAGAGTACTGCACCCTGAAACATGACATCTTCTCAGGCAAAAGCGCAATAAAATACTGTAAGAAAAACGTCACAATATAACTGGAAAAAGCAGCAAAAAAACATATCATTATAAAACTTTATTTTACAAAAGCATTCTATACAAGAACAACTTTATTTTACAGAGATAACAATTACAATAACAGAGCAATGTAAGCAAAAGAGCATACCTTCGGCGTACCAGTTGTGCCACTTGTATAGCATATAGTTGCAATATCTTTAGGATCTGGGGGGTAAAATGGTTTGAGATTACTATGGCCCTAAATGAAGATGGTGAGTTATTAGAAAGAATGAAAACTAACGAAGGACTTCAAATCAAAGAGGCAATATAAAAAATAAGCACTGTAGTTTATATTTAATTATTGCTAATATGCATTACATAGCCAGTAGGACATGTAAGATGAAGTGGATGAAATGACTTCAAAATTCTCACACCTATAGGTTTGTTTTAGTGATGTCATTTGTGTAGTTGGCGTCGTGCATGAGCAAGAAGTCGTGCTAGGGTTACAGTGAGAATCGTGAACGAGTGTTTAAGGCCGGCTAGTGCAGCAAAAAAGAGACCGATAATGGTTGATTACGGCAGGAAGATGCAAGCAGAACTTGCGGGAAAGAAAGCTTGGGGTGCTCGATGATGCAAAAGAGCGAGGATTGGCGTCAAAGAGACAAGAAGGCGAGGTGGGTGTACTGGGTGCGTTAGGTTGGGACGTGGCAGTTCGCAAGAGAAGGGGAGAGACGGGAGGGCATGTGAGAGAAGTTGGGGCATCGTGCAAGCCAGTGAAGATGAGAAAGAGAGAGAGGGGAAGCAACGGAGAAAAACTCGCGTGAAGCCTTCTTGCGAGTGCGCGCGACGGAGAGGGGAAGCACGCGTTGCACAAACGAGAATATGCATTGAAGCAGACGTTTTGGTTTCACACTTTCACCGAGCGAATGAAAGTGTGAAGCCAACCGAACGCGGCCGGTGTTGCGCTCTAGCAGGTAGGAGCTAATAGCAGACGGCGGCAAGTCAGCCGGGGCATGCAGAACTCACTAGCGTAATGGCAAGGAGAAATTATTCTGTTCGGCGGTCTCCAAGAACTTTTTGGACATACAAGTGTACATAATTGTACACTGTTCTTTCCCTCCAAACACAGTCCAGATTTGGAGCATAATAATTTCTCAAAGCACCCTATAATTTTGTTGAAGAACAAATATTTTAATTTTTTTTTTGTCCTTCATTAAATACAGTTGTCCAAATTCTCTAAAAAAAATCAATTTCATACATAAATTTATGCATTTCACATTCATATTTTATCCACCCTCAAAAGATAGCCTAATTCCACCCCCAAATTGGTGTATGGTATCAACGAGTCTGCCCAACTCAGTGGCTTGAATTTAAACTTGATTAATTAAAAGCTTGATCTTTATTCTACAAGTTCAAATCAGCTTACGAATGAACAAATTTATGATGAAAAAAGAAAATAATTATAATTTAAACCATTATAAAAGTAAAATAATAAAAAAGAATGAGAAATTAACAGGAAAATAACAAATAATCCCTTAATAGAAGATATTCAAAATTAATTTTCAAAGATTTTTAACAATTTTTTATCTAAAATCCTAAATGTTAATTTATGTTAAATGTATTTAATATTAATATTCATTAAACAAGCCAACTCGCGAGCTAACAAGTAGACCGGGGCTGCCTCAAATCGTTAGCTCATCGATCTTTATTAGTTAGCTAGTCGAGCTCCGTTCATGAGCCATTTATTAAATCAAGCTCAAGCTGGCTCACAAATTGCCTTGACTCATTTATGCTCTTATCAGTGTGCAACCCCACACTATATGTGAAAGTAACCTTTCAAAATGTATGAATTAATTTAAAGTATTTAAATATATTCAAAGGTTTCATACTTATTTCAAATTCTTATTTACTATGAAAAATTTACACTGGCATCTGCTTATCTGAAATTATTACATATCTTCACTGCATTGATTTTTACAATTAAACATAAAATGAACAAATCTTTTTATTAACAGTCAAAATAATATTGCTATTTTGAATATTAATGTCTGATGATTATGAATACTGATTTTGTGAAACAGCTGCTTCATTGAAAGGTTACCTGCTCATGAAGTTTAGAGTAAGTTACAACGGTCAATTGGCCAGTTGAAGGAGCTGAAGGTATATCCTCATCTGATCCCCCAACAACCTGTAGTTATAAAGGAAGACATGAAGGGTGTATGCATTTCAAAATTTGAAAATGTAAAATAGAATGTAGAGTAAGTTGGCTTACCACTATTAGACGTACTGAAGGAATCTTATTTAAAAAGCTTAACAACTGTCAGTCAGAGTAAAAAAAAAAGCTTAAAATAAGTATATTTGAACAGTAAAGAGAGGCCTAGCCTAGACTAACCGGGCGGAGAAAACCGTCCGGATTCACTACACTTCTACAAAAGGGCAGTAAAAGAACAACAAATATTTAATATTAACTAAATAATTGAAAATTTGCTATGCTTTTAATGAGTATTTACAAAAGCTCAACAAAAGGGCAGTAAAAATATATTCATAATTGAATATTTGCTATTCTTTTAATGCCTTTTTGTAAAAGCACAGTAAAAAGATAATAACTGCACAACAAATCCAGACGATTCTTTCCGCCCAGTGTCCGCACAAAATAATTTCTTTTCTCCTAAGAAAGGAACAATATGCATAAAAAAGGCGAAGTGCTCACATTGCTCAGCGTTTGTGGTACACAAAAAATAACCTGTATATCAGCATGATTTACAATGTAACTAACAGCATCAGGTCCTGCAAAAAAGTAAGGGAGAGAGCATTCGGTGCGCAGGACATCGCAAAGAGGGGGAGGAGAGGGAAATAAATAATATAGGAACTAAATATCTTACCAAGAGTATCATACAATGGCACCGATATATATGAGTATGCCGAGCATGCATGGTCTATAATGATCCACTCAGGTCTGTTTATGAAATATAGTCCAATGCATGCACCCTGCCACACATCAAATGAGAAAGAATTAGCTCAAGAAGAAATAATTCCTTGATCATTTAGAGTTGTTTCTATTTTTATTTTTTATTTTATTTTATTTATATTTTAATACAATTCCTTGATCATTTAGAGTTGTTTCTATTTTTATTTTTATTTTATTTTATTTTTATTTTAATACAAAATAAAATCATTATTGATATTTAATAAATATTTTTTATTGAATATTGAATAAGACTGTGATGATGATGACTGCGGGATGTAGTGACGTGGCTGTTTTTCAGAGTAGTTTTAAAAATATGTAAAAAACACCTAAAATTTGTTATTGAGAATTTTCAAATGTAGTTTGATTTATTTTCAAAAATAAAAATAGCAAAAAAAATATAAATCAAATGTATTTTTTAAAAATAAAAATAAAAAATGATTTCAAACAGCACAGCCCCTTTGTAATAGAAACAAGATAATGAATTGGTACTTTATGCGCTTTCATCATGAACAAAGGATATAAAGAACGAGAGGTTATTACGTACGGAGTCTGGATGCGTACGGAGATCAATCCGGACGCGCCATGCCACCCAATACACTGTGCATTAAGTAACATAGTGCATACAAATTAGCTTCCGGACGTGCCCGGACACCGCACGTAATAATTTTTTCCGACTAGAGAGTGAAATATCATTACAGAAATAAATCACTTACTTTCTGAATCCCATGGTATATTAGGCTAGAACCTATTGCTGATCGGGATGTACCTGCTTCTCCATAAGTTATCCATTTGTACCTTCAGCGATAAACGATATAAGGAAATAATTGACAAAAAACTGGCCGCTAGGCCTAGAACGTCACAGGCTCACAGCATTATGAAGAGACGAGAAATAGAAATGGTCTTACTCCCCTACTGTTCCATCTGGACGTATTCTTGTCCCCAAGTACTTGTAGTCCGGGAAAGTATCTACTGCATACCTAATTTATTTTATCTGAAGTCATAAATCTTAGATAAAGAAAACAGAAAACGTTGAGTAAAGAAATAAATTCAACTCATAGATGACCATAAGAGAAAGAATACTTTCGGCATGACTGAACTAGAATCAACATAAAAGATAAAAAATACTCATTTGCTGCAAATTCTTCCAATAGTAATACCACATGACGTACGCATGGGTGCACATGAATATGCACAATAGGGTGCAAGTGAGTACGCAAGTTGTTGACCTCTTTTTTTATGTCGATTTTGCTCGCATATTTTACCTTGACTCGTCGTCAACTTTGGGAATTTATTTATTTTGATCACATGTCAACCTTTTCTATGTTTTTAAAATATGTGTGATCCGATCAATGCCGATTTGATGAGTATATTGCGTGTATTTAAGCCCTTCATGCGCATGTTCATTCCATACATAAAATCCTTTGATTGGGACCTTATCTCGCAAAACGGATCACACTATTGCATCAAACTCATTGAGACAGATCAAATGAGCTCATTCGTACTCGAATCGGGCATCGTTTGATGCATGTCAAGGAGAGAAAACGGTGGGTTCCCTCTTGTTTTATTAAACTTAATAATTTAAGTTACTTGAAATCATATTTTGAATATATCTATATATATACAATATGTTAATAAATAAAATCTATCATTCAAAAAATAAAATATAAAATTAAAGAATATCCATACATATATACATAATAAATGAATTAAAATGTAAAAATCAAGTTCACATTAATCTTAATTTAAGTTTTAATACAAAACTGTTTTTTTATCTCACCTTTTCATCCTCCCAAATCAAGCAGATGTGAATCCAATGGTTGATTAGTGGCAAGCTAAACTCGATCTGAATAGTTAAATTCAGTGTTTCAAAGGGGTTTAATCTCAGCCATCTGATTAAAATTTTTGAAGGGTTATATGGTCAATTCATTGGATATCTTATGCAAGGTTTTACTCATGCTAGGGCCGGCCACACTCAAAGAGATTCATGATTCATCCCTCTCCTCTCCCAGCTGCAGGCCTTTTCCCAATTCCACTCCACGTACACTTGCAGCCCTCCAGTCACTGGTTGCACCTCCAGTTGTCCGAACTCCTCACAAGCAGTCCCCCAAGCAGCTGGTCCGACCCAACCATACAAACTCCTCCGACCCGACTCCACCTCCAGCAGCTGGATTGCTCCCAACCCCAGCTATCCAAATCATGAGACTCGGCCGCCTCTTTCCGCCACCGGTATTGGATCTTCCACCACCGGTCGACCCCTGCTCGACCGACCCAAGCCATCCCATCAGTCTCCACCTCCTCTCCAGTCGTAGCCCCACAAACACACATGACCTGCCTCACGCCTCCCTCACGCAAGCAACTCCGACCACAATGGGACATTGGTGATTTCCCCTCTCCCTCTCCTGCGACCCTCGGGCTTTTCTCCTTCACAACAAGTAGACGACCTAGCCGCCCACTTCTTCACAATCGAAAGACACTCACGCCCCAAGGCAAGCAGCTCTCAACCTCACAAGGGATTTCACAAAAGGGAGCTCTCCCTCTCGGTTTTACACGCAAGTCCCTCATAAGTAAATGGTAAAGTGCTCATTGTATATTTGTATATTTCAATTTTAAAGATTGTTAAAATATTCAAATATATTTGCTTACAAAATAAACATGGCTCCAAAAGAAAATTCCCTCTCCTTTGAAGGGTGTTCTCTTTTGAAATCCTTTAGAAAACTCGAAGCCATAAGAAAGCAAGCAAATGTATTTGAACTTAAATTCATAGGAGTAGAAATCCAAACATATAGTGGTGGACCATAGCTATTTTACTTTTTAGTAGATCCTGGGTTATATTTATGCTTCAAATAAATGAATAAAATATTTTATTTAAGCATTTGTTTCATGCATCATACATGATGTTAGCTAAATAAACATGAATATTTAAGAGTCTCGATTAAACTTTCTGAATTAAAAATCCTTGACTCCTTATGATAGAGTCTTCCTATCTTATATGCACAAGACGGTTGATTGTGTTTAAAATATTAGCTGGCAGTTCACTCCATACAAGCATAAGCCCGGATTGTACACCCATAGGTGGTCTTTTCTAACTCCTGATAAATTCTAAATCTATAATTTCTCCTAAGACAGTAAATCAATCTCTAATCTTCTTAACTCAAATTTTTAATCAAATCCTCATATATTTAAAAAATTTGGTCATCACTAACATGAAGAGAAGAGTTTATACCCCTTGGATTAAAAGAACTTACGAACATCACTATGTACCAAACCAAGAAGAGAATAAAATAACATCCCTAATCGAGAGTATTCTTAGGTCAAGGCCTAAGATATAATTAAATATGGGGGCTTGTGCCCGTGGAAAACTGACAACCACATCAAATAAACTCCACTTGAGCTGATGTATGAAATAGGAAAAATCTCGATATTATCGAGTCATATATATTATTATACATCGAGATGTGTAGGCGAAAGTCACTATTCTCTATAGATAATCATATGTATTATTTTATCTACTCTTTCATTGGTCTGCTTCTGTGAAGTGTAAAGGTCTACGACCGTTTTATCCTACGGGATAGTGCAATCATACAATTTGCAATCTAACCCCTGCTAACAATATCCTTTCGAAGACCCCACATAAACTCTATGAATAGTTGGATATTTGTTCATATAATACTCTTTTATATTCATTTATTTAGAAAACCTTATAAATTTGAATAAAATTTTTAAACTAGATATATAATATAATAAATTTGAATATTTGCCCACTTATTATTTGTGTTTAACTGTTTATAAACATATTCACTTGTTGTTTAACAAATAACTCGCTAACAGTTCAATAAAATGCCCATTTAAAGATAATTTAATTTCTTTCTTATAGCTTATTTTGTGACATTATATCAAAATTCTTATATTTTATGTAGTTCAAAGTTCAAACATTATTTATTTTACACTGACATATTAATATGCTGAAAATATTGAATAAACTGGTACAAGAATAGATTAAAATTTAACTTTGTCTTTTATCAACAATTAATAATAAAAGTATCAAATAAACGCTACATGGATAGATTAAAATATAATTTTATTTTTTAAATTAATATTTGATTATTAAAATATTAACAAATAACTAGAATGATATATTAAAATTTTAATTTTGCTATTCATAAAATATTAGAAATCATGCTGGGTGAATTCTTACCAAGTTTGAAAAAAATTATAAATACATTTTTATTAGAAAAAACAATTGGTTTAAATAATTAGCATCCTGCATAAAATTAATCAGGCTTGATTACGACTAAAATTCAACAAAAAAGTTAATAAGCAAATTTGAATTAGATTTTAAATATGACTCATGTTCAAGCTAAAAGCTCTAGCTTGATAAGAAGTAAAATTAACGAGCTTAAACAATATGGTGCTCAGATTGACTTGATTCATTTCCATCTTAAGCACGATGAACTTAAAAGAAAATGAATAATTCTATAGTAGAAACATAAAGTATAAGAAACTGATAGGATAGAATCAAAAAGGCAATCAACTGAATGAGCAATAGTTAGCAAAAATGCGAGCTGAAATCAAGATTATGCACGAACAAACTCACACAAAATTATCATGTAATGTTCTTATTTCTGGATGCTCTGGATATCTGTTGATCAGCTGCAATGGTGACCGTGCAGATCTGCTTCAAGGAAGTGAAACAACAATAATAATAACCAACAATAAACCATTACAGAAATTTGTATTAAAAGAATAAAATTGCACCTGTATACATTCCACTTCTCGGTCTGTAACTTCTCAGGGAGAACAACACTATAACCCTGCTCTGGATAAAGATAAAAAAAAATCAGGGTTAATGTATGCATAAAATGAACAAACTGAGGGTTTTGAAATCTGTAAGATTGTTGTTTTACAGTAGGCCAAAAAAATTCTCATACCCTGATGGCAAGAAAAAAGCTATTTTCCATTAATAAAGTGTAAAGATCCAACTAAAATGCACCAAGTTTAGCACAAAAGATGTTATCATCTACTAAAATAATGTTGAAAAATAAAAAATAAGTATGCTACATATTTTCTTATTCTAATTGTAGAATATATAAAAAAATTTATAGGAGGATTTAGCCTGCAAAGAGAGAAAAAAACTGGAAAGTAATTAACCTAGAGCCTATTTAGGATCACTTTTGTTTTTATTTTTTATTTTTTTTTTTTAAATAAATCAAGGTAAAACTCAGTTTTTTCCTTGATGAAAAGCCTATCATTTTCAATATGCTTAGTCAGATCACGATAGATTGGATTCATATTAATGTTAATAGTAGCTTGGCTGTCAAACATTTTTATTACAAGTCCTTTACTGAATAGATATCTTCAAGAAGACATTTTCACTACATACATTCAAACTCTTATGGGTCATGGCACTAAATTCTGCTTCAGCACAGCTCCAAGCTATCATATACAGCATTTGATTCTTCAAGTAACTAAACTCCTCCCTATAAATGAATAATTACCATATGCTAATTTTTTATTTATTACAGATCCAAACTAGTCAGCATCAATGAAGATTCCAATATTTATTTTAGCCCCATTTTTCAAGAATAACCATTTTTATACATGCCTTTTTAAGATATTTTGGTATCTACATTAAGATGCTCCTTCATGAGGTTATTCATAAATTAACTAACAATACTAATGGGAAAATAAACATCAACTCTAGTGTGACTGTGTGAGACATGTAGATAAGTTTTTCTACTTAACCATTGGTGCCTTCTTTTGCCAATCAGGGTTGAAATTTCTTAGTCCCAACTTTATTTAATAGATCCATTGATTCATTTGTGGGTCTGTATCCAAGATTATCAGTTTGCTTTAGTAAGTCGAAGGTGTGTTTTTGTTCTTATTATTTCCATGAAAAGAATATATTTTAATAAACCAGGATCTTTGATTTCAAATTTTTTAAATATGACACCTTTCTGATTTCTTATATCTTCTTCATGGTCCCCTATTAAGACGATGTCATCAATATATATGATCACACCTTCATAAGATTTTTTGTGAAGCAAAGTGTGATCAAATTAAAGTATTCATGTCATGATTATTCAAAAAATTTTAAATTGGTCATCAACTATCTAACGCAACGCTCTACTTTTCTCATCCAGGACTTGGGACTTGGTAATGACAGTGTTTATAGAAAAAAAAAAAAAGGATTCATGTAGCCGACCCCACATAGTGGAATAAAAGCTTGATGATGTTGTTGTTGTTCTAAAGTGTGATAAAATTATCCTTGAGAGTAGCTATGCCTTTTTAATCACCATGATAAACATGTTGAACAGAGTTCTTTGTGTTTGTTTTAAGCTACATTAAAATTTCCTGAGCCTGTTGTAGATTCGATTTGTATTGCTCATACGCTCAAATTTATGAAGTATTATCAAATAGACATGGTATTCTAGATCTCCATTTCAAAATACATTTTCACATCTAATTGATTGTGTAACAAATCTAAATTTGAAATAAGAAACAAAATTATCCTAAGAGTGTTTATCTTAGCACCCAAGGCAAAGGTTTCTTGACAATCAATACATGTTAGAGTGAAACAGCTTGTCGCAAATCTTGATTTGTATTGGTCGACACTTCCATCTGCTTTGCATTTCACATAGAAAATCCATTTGCATACAATGTCTTACTTCCCATTGGGAAGATTTAAAAGCTACCAAGTATCATTTCTTTCAAGGACCTAAATTTTTTCATGAATTACATATTTTCCATTCATGAACTTTAAATCTTCTTTAAAACTACTTGGAATTTCCAACCTTGAAATATCTGTAGCAAATACAACATAGGAAATATGCTGATTGATAGGATATTTGGAGCAACAACAATAACAACAACATCAAGCCTTTACCCCACTACGTGGGGCCGGCTATTATTTATCTCCATTGTGTCCAGTTAAGAATCAAATTTTCATTTAAATCCAATAAGTAAATGTCGTTTAGAATATTTTCTAATCAAGTTTGTTTAGGTCTACCTCTACCTTCTTAACACAGGCCAAATCTAATACATCTACTCTCCTAACTGGGATATCAAAAGTCTTATGTTTTATGTGTTCAAATCATCTAAGAATATTCTCTCTAATCTTATCTTCCATTAGAGATACTCTAACATTTTTACGTATATACTTGTTTCGCATTTTATCTCTAAGAGTGAAACCACAAATCCGCTTGAGCATCCTCATCCCTGCAACAGTTAACTTACTTTTATGCTTCTCTTTTAATGGCCAATATTCTGCACCATAAAACATTGTAGGTCTCACCACCATCTTATAGAATCTTTCCTTAAGTTTGAGAGATACTTTTTTATCACACAACAAGCTGGATGCATTTCTCCACTTCAATCATCCAACTTGAATACTACTATATATTTCCTATGAGCAACAATACAAATGTTTAAATCATCCTCTGAATCAACCACATCTTTATGAAACAATGTCAAAAGTCAAAACTTGGATCAGACCTTAGATTTGGTTCAGGAGAAATACCTTGCCAGTTCTTTTTTTTTTGTTGTTGCTTGGACTAGATAATCCTTTTATACCTTGCTTCTTCTATGTGATCTTCAAAACCTTTAGGGTATTCAAACGAGAGAGTTTCAGATTGGGATGATTCAAGTAGTTCTCGGAGATAAGTTGATTGAGCAAATAATAATATATGATTGTCATTATTTTAAAAATCAAATTAATATAGAGAGCTGATATTATCCCCCTGAATATGAGTTTTGAGAAAAAAAAAGTATTACGCATCTCACCTTAATCTGTTGGTTGGGAGCTTTGGCTACCAGCCAACAGGTCTTGGGTTCGAAGCTTGCATTTTTATTTTTATTTTTTTGCCAAGGGGATAACATTTGTACTCATATAGCTGAGAAGAGTAGTAATAAAAATACATTTTATGACTTCTGGGTCAAGATGAGTATGAATATGCACAAAAGTAGAGCAGACAAAGACCTTGAGAGAAATGGTAGCGATTATTTCACCCATGGAATGAAAATATTCTTTCCTAAATTAATTCATAAGAAGTTGAACTTAGATTTTGAATTAGGCCTCTATAAATGAGTGGAATTTTTGCAAAATGGAGTTGGCTATAAACTTTTCTTTCAGTAAAAAAATTCAAATAGTTCAAGCATGGTCACAACGAATAATATAAATCACATGGCAACTGAAATATTTTTCACCCTAGATGAGCTCCAAATGTCACTATGAATATTTAAACATTATTGGAAGACTATAATAATGACTAAGATAGAATGAAGTACGTTTAAATATTGGTAAGTTTAACACACTGATATGTATTAGGATTTATGCTAATGAAAAGAGAGGGAAATAATTTTTTAGGTAAATGAAATTTGGAGACTAAGAAAAAAGTACCACAACATAATTGTGCTTTCATTAGAGGAAGGAACATACTAAGTATTTTTCTCTTGCTTTTTCACGATTTGTTTCAAAATTTAGCACATAGAAGTTATCATTTTCCATTACCTAGCTAATTATCCTTCCAGAATGTCTATCTTCAAATTAACAATGAGCAGGAAGAATATTATTAGTATAATTTACATCCTTGATAACTTAAGGATTCATCATAAATTACAGGATAACTGATAAATTAAGAGAAGTTAAGAACCACATATTTGGTAACATTGATACTACCAGAGCCAATTAGTTATGATGTTGATACATCAATAATTATAACTGCATAGATCTTTAAACACGGATGAAGGATTTGAGCTAATGAGGTATCCCCTATCATATGATTAAAGCCTCCAGAGTTCATGATCCAATTTATATATTTCTATTTTGCACTTAGAAGGCATTCAAGTTCGTCTCTTTTTTTAAAATCGCATTGATGATGATTTTTTGTGAAGAAAATTTTGGTTTTTTATAATTGACAACTTCGATAAGATTTCTAAGATAACAATGTTGCCATGTGATCTTGATAAAAAACTTCTTTTCAAGGTGGCATCGTAGGAGGTTCTTCTTTTCAAGGTCATTCCATGTTTAACCGTCCTCACAACTTAAGCAAAAAACTTCTCATTGGCATAATAAGGCATAGAATTCAGACAAGATGTGAAAGATAGAGAAGTATGGAAAATAGAAAATAGATATGTCTCCCATGTTAAAATATATGAGAGCAGATAATATTACATATTTTTTATTCCACTGGATAGAATAAATACTATATTTCTAGGTGAAACAAAAAGATATAAAAAATAGAAAAGTAATTAATCTAATTAATTACAATCAATTCAAAATTAAAAAATTATTCCACACAAAAAAAGTAGTTGTTGGCAAATTGTTTATGAAATCCAAGAGGGTGATGGCCAAGGTTGTTGATCGCATCGATGGCTGCAGTGGAGGTGCTTGCAAGGTTGGTGGAGAAAAGCTAGAAGGCCTCAAGTATTATGTATTGCCAAGGTGGTGTAGGATCAAGATTTCCACAAATAATTCAATAGTCCTATTGAAGATGAATTAACAACCTATAGGTCATGTCCGCATATATGAATATTCCCTATATTCAGGTTTGCTTAGTGGGATTTCCTCTTGAAGATGAATAACCAATTTTTTAATTTCATATACAGTTTAAATTTATTTATATTAGCAGGGTATAATTGTGATGAATATATCAAACAAATAACTAGATATATAAAATCAACCCTTTCTAATTAATATTTGAACTTCACCAAATAATTTAAATAAACCAACAAATTATGTCCATTTTGATTAAAATTTAAAATGCCCATTATATCCCCTAAAAAATTTACTGGCTTCACAAAATTAGTTCCGTCAAACTACAGAAGAACAGAAATAAAACATATACTGTTTGATTGGCTTCTACCAGAATTTACATGGTGATCCTTTAATAATGACAACTCACAAGTATCTTCAAAAATCATGGCTAGCATAATTGGATCAATCCCATTCCCATGAAATAAAACTCAATGTCCATTGACTAATATGTCAATTCCCATAATTGCATTTTTATAAAAAAAATAAAAAAATAAAAACCAGAAACCCCTTTTAACAACAATGGGCTAGAACCTCATTGTGCTCCTTATCAGAATATTTAAAGTTCTATTCACAGATTCAATGGCAAACAACGTCCATCTTCCGTGGGATAGACCCACCGCAAGGCTATCAGAGTTCTTACTAATACAAAAACTTCTCGCCCCATTTCAAACACTTCAAAACCAAATTACAGGGTAAAAGGAATGAAAAAATTATAATCCAATTAAAACCTGAAATCCTCTTAGCTCACGAAATAAAATTCCTTTCAGGCATCCAGCATTTACCAACTTGCAAAAGTAATCCGCCATTAGCCAATCTAAACTTACATTTTGTTCACCCGTCTACTAAATCTTCCTCGAACTAAAATCGTCGCCATTAAAAGATCCATTTAACACGAAAACAAATAGGGACCAGCAGGGACTAAACCAAAAAAGCAATTTTCATTTAAACAGCGAATAAACACTAGAGACCAGCAGCGAAATTGATAATAGTAGCAAAACTAAACCTACAAAGCTTCAATAGATTGGAAGGGTTCAACATAGGTTCTTCAGACACCAAAGAACGAACCCCACTTAATGCCACAGTAAACTCAAACCTAAGAACAGAGAAGGCGAAACAACTCACCCTGAACAAATTCTCCCGCGGTGGCGCAAGAGCTCAGCTGAGATCGCGCATCATCGCCTCCGACAATGGCTCGGAGATGGCCGGCGATCGCCCTAAGGCGGCGCTCAGCATTGAAATCCATCGTCCTTGACTTTTCCTCCCTCTCGGGAACAATCAATTTATCCAAATTTTGCTTCGTATTTTAATAATGGGATGGACCGACGAACGGAAAAAAGAAATATCTTCTATTTTTCACGCCTCGTGGCTGATGCGAGCGCCGGTTAGTGTGTTGTTCCACACTTGCAGTTAGTTACAAGGAGACAAATGGAATTTACGAGATTCAGCCTCCGGTGTACCGAAATTTACAGATGGACCTCTCTGAAAACCCATTGATTGTCGTTTCCGGTTTCTTCTGGACTTAAAAGGGTACTTTTGGGATTTCATAATTAGATTTTTTCATAAATAAAAGCAGACTGCAAATTTAAGATCCGTTTGTTTGGGAAATAAATTTAGGCTTTATTTGTGGGAAATTTATTTTGTGCCGATGTCGAATGTGTTTAGAGGCTAATCAGAGAATTTTTATTTGGTCTAGTGTCCTGACATAGCTCTACGTTCGGACGCCAGTAAAATGGTGTCACGTGCCCTTACGCTTTACCGCGCGGCTCGACGACCCGACCCAGACCGGACCCGGGATTGCTATGTATGTGCAAAAGGTTGTATTGCTAGGTATTGCTCGATATTCCTCGATAATAATGAGAAATATCATTATGTGAAGACCAATACCTAGCAACACTCTGGTTTAGCTAGGTATTGCTCATAATTTCTAGGTATTGGTCTTGATAGAGCGGTATTTCTCGTTATTGTCAAGCAATACCTAGCAATACGCGAACAATTGTCAAGCAATACCTAGCAATACGCGAACATAGCAATACCGGGTTCCGATTTGGATCGGGTCTTCGGGCCGTGCGGTAAAGAGTAAGAGCACCTGGCAACATATTATTGGCCTCCGAATGTAGAGCTGCGTCCGGTGTCCAGACCTAATCAGAAGACCTCATGTCACCTAATGTTTTCTGCATTGACTGATATAATATTTTTTATTTTAGATGATTTTTTTAAACCATTATAGATAAAGCAATTTTTAAAATTATTATAAAAACAATTTTTTAGTGAAAAAAAAAATTAAAAGTGCCGAAGAAACAACATTATGATTACAAAGTAAAAATTAAAATAATAAGAAAAGTATCTCAAATAATATCTTAACTACTCTTGTTATAAAATAACTTTTCATTATAATTTTTTTTTAAATCATTGAAAAAATTAATATAAAAAATTATATTTGTTATGAAAAACTTAAAAAATCATTAATTTAGATGACGTTTGATTTAATTGTTTAGATAGTTAGTGGATTATAAATATAATATAAAATTAATTTGATAATGACGTTTATATTTTTTATAGCACTGTCTTTCTTGAAAATGACATACTTCTACCTAAATTATGAAAAACCTGCCAACCTTTCTGCAGCTTTCGCTCTTTTATTTAATTAAAAGAGCAAAAGATACATAAAAAAAAAATAAAAAGGTAAATTTAACTTCAATAAAAAAATCATTTAGATTATCACAGTGGTATATTTGATCTATTATAAAATTTTAGATATTTAAAAAGTAATTAAAAAATAGACATGTTATGTAAGGAATAAATTTAATTAAATATTTTTTTTTTGAAGTAAAATAAATATAGCGTAAAGTACAACGATGGCGATCGATGGGAGGCCGCTGCTGAATATAGTGGTGATGGATGACGATTGCTTGTGATGTAAACTTTTCTCACTCAAAATTAAATGAGTTTGATTTATCTAAAAATAAATTAAAATGATTTTATTATATTTACTTTTTAAAATTCATAGGCATTTGAAAATCTCAAAATCAACCAAACAGTCCGTAAGGTCAATAAAGACAATAAAAAGAGTGAAAGTGCCAACAATGAGACACGTTTTATTAGTTGTCATCCCCTCGTAGTACGGTTGACTTTCTCCTATTAGTGATTCCACTACATAAATAAATGAGTAGATACGCATGGATGTGTATTGTTTTTTTGTTTTTTTTTTAAATCTAATCATTTTGGTAAGTGTTGCGGGCTAGAGTATACGCAACAATAGAGTTAGAATTTTAAGTCATAGCGTTGCATGAATATCCAGCTAACACGCAAAGAAAATAAGGTTTTTTGCTTGGAAAATCCCAGAAAGGGGAAAAACTATGGGGCATGACCCAGTTGAAAATGATTATACTAGAATTCGAGTAGATTATAGCGGGCTAACTCGTCCTTGAGGGCGATCAGATTACAAATGTCAACTGTCAAGTTAAAATCTAGTGAGAAACGGGGATGATAGTCCAGCATCGCTTGATGGACTGGCACAAGTCCGGCGTGACTTGGAAATTCAGGTTTTTATTGGTAATCTGGTGAAACTCCGGGGTCAGTGGTCCGGCGGAGCTCTGGGCCTCAAGTGGTGGTCTTGCGGAGCTCAGTGCCTCAAGTGGTGGTCCGGCGAAGCTCAGGGCTTCAGGTGGTGGTCCGACGAAGCTTGGGGCCTCAAGTGGTGGTCCGGCAGAGGCCCAAGTGGTGGTCGAGGTGGCAAGGAGGCAAGAGCAATCTCCGATATCTCTCACTTCTCCTTAGGCTTAGGTCCCTTTTCAAGAGGAAAGAGAGCTCTATTTATAGATTTATTAGAGTGACATGGCTTGTAAATAGGTGGAAGATCAAGGGCAAATGGGGAGTGGTTTGGATGGACGGCCGATGTTGAATCCCTTGATTGTGGACCGTTTGACGGACATTTGAATGGCTTAGTGATGTCGAAATTCCGTGATCTTGGGCTCGTGGGATTCGTCTCATCGAGCTGCTCAATTTGACTATAAACATGTCACATTTGGTAATCCATATTGTGGTTCGAACCTTCCAACAGCGTTTCGGTCCCTTGATTTGGGCCCATTTTGGCTCGGATTGAGTTGATTTTGGTGTCGTTGGGTTCAAGACATTCAGTTCGACTATGAGTTTGCTGAAATCGGAGTTCGGATGGTCCAAATTTTAATTTTGGAAGTTTCCAATTTTATTTTCCTTGAGATTCGTGCCCGATCAGGACAAATTTTTGACGAGGCATCAATCAATTTTTTTGACAAATTTGTTAAATTATTGATTTTTATTTAAGAGATAAATTTTATTATTTATATCCAACACCCCGTTATCTGCTAATATATCTCAGTGACTCATCAATACCCTCACTGGTGAGCTCTACTATATCTCATCATCGACAGGCTTGTCCATGCCTTCTCAGCCTCCTGAACCTATTAATGTCATGCATGTGAGCTCTCATGCAAGATTGAGAGAGATGAGATCAGACAATGTGAGGTTGAAAGCTTCGCAGTTTGGTTGGGGCGGCTTTATTTGTGACGACTTTTATTGATTTCGAAAGCAATTTTCTAATATAAAATTTCTTGAACTAAAATTTTTTGCAATAAAAAACAACTTCATCAAATATTAAGAAAGAAGACAGACAGAAAAAAATGGGATTGACGCTGCAGTGACGAATGATGGAGATTCCAATCGAAGTTGTTATTTTTTATTTTATTTCGGTATATATCGACCAGCCTACGTAACTCTTCATTTTTCTCATACAAAACTTCGGGACCTGACAACGACAATGTTATAACAATAAAATTTAGATATATAAACAATAAAATATTGATGTTAAATGTATAAATCATAGTATCTAAAGTGCAACATAAACAAATCCTACAAAAAATCATTCTCTATTTTTCTCGTACAGAACTTCGGACCTGACAACGAGGGAATAAAATGATACTTTAATATAGTTGGAGATCATTCGACCCTTCATATAACGTCAAGAGATAACTATAATCATTTTCTCATATATACAACTTTCATTTAATTATCTTCCACTTTGAAAATATCACTTGTTTTTTGCTTAAAATGTCCTGATATATGGAAAATATATATAATTGAGTACTTAGGAGATGTCCTGCAACAGAGGAGATGTCCAAATGGGGCTTGTAACTTGATCTTGTGTGACTAAGTACATAAACCAATGCAAGAAGCTGAGATATGGAAGGAAGCCACGTTGAGTTGAAGCTAAGAGGGCTTTGGCGTCGCCGAATCTTTACGTGAAGGTGCTTCTTCTCCTTGTTTCTGCAAGATGTCAAGTCATCAGGCACAGCACAGCCAAATAAGAAACAATACATAAATTTCAATGACAAAGTTGTTAAACTGACTTGAATATATCCCAAAAATCTGCATGACAAAATAATTTCATGCAGGATAAACGATTTATATTTTAATAGTTCTTTGAAAACTAGAATAGTTTCATTCTTTTTTTTCTTTGAAAAAAATGGTTCCAGACGTTTGTTTCTAAAGAAGCTTTTTGCATGGCATTGATAGCTAAGCATTGCGCATAAGTTGATGCTTCGATTGTAGGAATGCCCATCATCATAACTCAAAAATAGGAGAAATTATTTTGTGCGGACGCCGGACGCAACTCTACGTCTGGATACCGCGGTATTGAGCAGTACCGAGCGTCAGTACCAGTACTGAGCCGCGGTACAATAAGAAGGTGACGTGGTGCATTTTTATTGGTCTCTGGAAATCGTTCGGTGTCCGTACAAAATAATTTTTTCAAAAATAGGTTCAAGAAAAATAGAGCCTCAATATGAAATTCTTCCGATTGGGTAGGTAAATGTTATACTGCTAATGTTTTATCATAGATTGTTGAATATAGCATTAGCTTGTTTCCTACATAGTTTAAGGAACATGTGAGTCTAAACCAAGGAATGCTTTCAGGGGGAAGATAATCTGACGTTTAAGTTAATAAGTGGATTCAAATGCTTTAAAAAAAGAGTCAAAATTACTAAATTGAGTCCTTTTTAGAGGATGGAGCACTTCAAATGGTCTGGATTGGGTTCAAAGCTTCTCTCTTAAGAGAGGGGTATTATAGTTGTGTAAATGGTGGGTATTTTGGTATTTTTGGTTAGAAAGTGGATGAGGGAGTTGTTAAGGTTTCGTTTGGATGAATTATTATGTTCGGAACCGGACGGGAGTACAATCCGGTTTTTTATCTATCTACAGTAAAAGTGCAATGTAGCAGTTTCGCTTTTACTATAGACAGAGAGAAAACTGGACGGTTCTCTCCGTCTGATATCTGCATAGAATAATCTCTCCTTCATTTGGGGGCAATTTTCTTACTGCTTTCTAAAACAGTTTTTTAGTACAAAAAATTATAGTTAATTTTTTTTTTTTTTAACTAAATAATAGATTTAGAGAGGAATAAAAAACTATCTAAAATAAAGCCTAAGTCTGCAAGATGAAAATGCCTTCAGCTGGAGCATGTTGGTTCTTCTATCAATTAGAGATCTGAAGATTGAGACAATCTATGAAATTGGCCTCAGACTATTATACCCCTAAAGTTTATGGATGAAGCCCTTACACTTTGAGATTAGTGCTGAAAATAAGCTTGATTAGGATGATCATATTCAAATAAAAAACTTAAGAATAGTGCTGATAAAATATATTCCTTTATACTTGATTAAATGATTGTAACTAATCTTGAAGCAATTCCACAATGCAGATTTAGAAAGACCATTGCATTATCCTATCATTGTTACACAACGATCATGGAAGCACCAGTCTTGGCATCCAAGATCAGACAGCTAGGGTTAATATAGAATTAATGAATTTTTAAAGCCGTACCAATTGACTCCCTATTCTTCAGTATCTTACAAAGGACCAAAAAATATTTTCTTTTATTTGATAAATATGAGTAGTTGTGCTCTATATGCAAGTTTAAGATATTCTAAATGTTGTAATCACAATTTGTGATTTACCCTTAAACTTCACTAACTATAATTGCTCATATGATATAATTGCTCATATGATATTATTGTAGACATCCTCTTGGGATATCAATACCGACGCCCTCTTCACAAACTATAATTACTCATGGGATATCAATGTAGATATCCTATTGGGGCTATAAATTAAGATATCACGAGTTGACAATGTTGTGTTCTAAATTACCTATACAAACATGGTTATTCCTTGAGGCTTTAGTGCAATTCAAGATGAATCTTATTTAATGCTGGGACAAAGACTCTCTCTCTCTCTCTCTCTCTCTCTCTCTCTCTCTCTCTCTCTCTCTCTCTCTCATTGTTCTAAATTACCTTTTCAACGATGGTGAGCTAAAAATTATTCCTGGAGGCTTTTGGTGATTTCAAGAGGAATCTTATTTAATGATGGGACAAAGAGACACTTTTTCACCCTCCCCTCCCCTCCAAGGAACTAAGAAAAGACAATTAAAAGGCACTCGTTGGACACAGATGGGTCAAATCTAAATAGATGAGTAAAACTATAATTTAAAAATAAAAGCAAACATTCAAAATGCAACATTTGTCACCTTAAAAGAACATAACAAAAAAAAAATAGGACTTTCAGGGAACTTGGCAGCTCACCTGCGAGCAGGAGAAAGAACATGACTTCAGTGTTGCACTCAGGCCTATCAGAACAGTGGACCGACGGCTTTTTTATTACTTTCTAAAGCAACCTTCTGGTACAAAATTTTAATTTTGTATTATAAAATTGCTTTAAGAAGTAGTAAGAAAGTCGTCCCAATCAAAGCCTAAATGAAATGATTAACAAGGTAACGTTATTTGGTGCTTCATAGATCAAGGACACCTAACATTGTTGCAAGGAACATACGCTCAAACCTATTATTTTAATCTCGTATTGGAGAGAAAGTTACCATATTTATTCTCCTAAATGTTAGATCCAGCATCTAGGGTCTGATATCAAAGCGTCATTGGTGTTAATTCATCCCTTATCATATTGAATATGAATAATATATTTTATCATATGTCACTAATTTTCATTTCCAATAACAGATTATGCAATAAAGGGAGCTATTATCCAAGAAGTGCTCCAGTAAACAAGGCCAATCGATTAACCCATCAAATAGGAATAAGAATTGGCCGCCTTGGATTAACCAATCAACTATGTTAATAACATCAAAAAATAATAGGGTTTATGGAAAAAACAAGGCTACGAAAGAGGCAACATTATTGAATTACAAAGGAACTCTCAATAAGGAAGTAGCATACGAACGTGTAAAACGAGGAATAACGAGGCAAACCAAACAAAAATTATATGATGGTCGAACACTATCTATCCAGATAAGGAAGTCTTGTTAGTCATTCTCCTTTTTTTGTTGTCTATGTAGCTAACTAATTTGTTATGGCCACCTAGAATTTTTTCTAATTAAATGTCGATCATCTACTTTGTGACAACCACCTAATTAAGAGTTGTTAGAGTTTACTGGTCCCTGATATTAAGAATATGAGAGTAGAGAAAGCCTAAAAGCATGCATGTATTCATCCATGTATCCAACTTAAAACTTAATGACCATAAAGTTGCTCATTTTTACTCTTTCAAATCAAATTCCTTGAACGACCACTCCAGAAGAGTTTTGGTCGAATCCATCACGAAGAATTCAAGCAGGGTAAGAAAGAACAAGCTTAAAAGAAGAATTTTTTATGCTCCAGGTTTTAGGTTTTGCTCCATTTCAAATAATCTCTCAAATCCTTTTGTCTCCGTAGATTCATGTTCTTTCTTCATTAACGTTTCATTCAATGATTACCTTATGTATCATCAAAACATGAACTAAAGCTTCATTTGGGACAGCTTTCTTACCGCTTCTTAATGCTGCTTTTTAGCAAAAAATTAATTTTTTAACTAAAAAACGGCTTTAAGAAGCGGTAAGAAAGCCATCCGAAACGAAAAGCCTAAATCTCTGTCCTTCAAACACCACTATCAAATCCAATTCTACATCAAGTTTATTTGGGTTTGCCACTTTGCCGACAATCCACTATCTAGCTTCTAAGAAGAATCATTCCGGACTCACTGAAAGTTTATATTAATCCATATTTTAAGGTTAATTGGAGAATCTTCTCATAAGCTAAAAATAGCATAGAGGTAATAAAACTACTAGCTTATAATCACAATAGAAGCGAAAAATCAAGACATTTATACAACTTGATACGATTAGATAAGCATTTGTGCATCTCTGTGGGTAAGCATGCAAACACTTTATGGTGCAAGGCTGTGCTAACCAATAGGCATCAACAAATTCAAAAAGTCAGAAGAAGATCGTCATTTCCAGCCACCTATCGTGGTGCAATTTAGAACTTACTGTGGATATTGAAATTCTTCAAATCAATGGTAAAGATCTCAGCAATAATCACAGCTTTGCCCCACCCAGCACTGCAGATATATATACACTTCCAGGACCAGCTTATCCTGGCTTTTAAAAAAAAATTAAAAAATACCTTTTTGATCAAACCCTCCGCTAACATGTGCTCATAAAGTTTGCGCATGAGCATTTCTTCTTCTACCTTAACATCAAAAGGTAAAACAATCAATTTCCCTATAATGACAATAGTTAATAAGGCAAGAGCATTTCTTAAGAATTATTTTAACCACCAACCACTAGGTAGAGGTATTTCCTTTGACCTCAAAAATGGAGGTCAGAGATTTGAATCTCTAAAACAAAGAAGAAAATACTTAATAAGGCAATTCTGTCTAAACAAGTTTCTAGTAGCATCTCATACATACTTGAAGATTATGCAATTCATGGGACATTGTTCGATACGATTCCAGCAGAATTCGGCCCTGTTCATCAAGATGCCTACACCCCAAAATTGTATTTGACAAGATGAAATAAAATATAAGAAAAATAATACAATAGTATGCTTCCATGAATCTGTATATCAGGATTCAACGTCTTACTTCCGAATTTCTAACGAGTGCCTTGCGTCCATCTTTAGCTGAGAACAAGTCTGAAGTAGAAACTGAATTTATCAAATATTCAAAAATCACAATAAAAATATTTCTTTAGCTCAAATGATCAGATTGCATATGCTTGAAGAAATTATGAAAACTAGCAGAAAAATGAAAATCTAAGAGGGCGGAGAGAAGGGATCTCAAATCTAGCACAAAATCAGTGATCCGGTAATCTTTCTCTATAGAAACTTAACATGGATTAAAAAACATTACTGACCATCTTACTAGGCAAATGGTAAAGTGGTGGGGGCAAGAAATATAGGGAACCTATACCCCTCGCCCGCACAGGTGATAGAACCGAGCGACGACCCACTAAATCAAGAAACAAAGATGAAGACTAAGATGAGGAAGAACAAACTCTTAGATTTCAAATCTAAGACCGAATTAAAAACAAAATTACAACGACTTACAAACTCGACTCGAAATTAAAAGACACCCTAAAGTTGCTTTACTTAGAGAAGAGGGATACAGGTGGAGTGACACTTGCGGAGAGACGAAAGAGATTAGAAGCCGAGACGAAAGGTTGGAAAGAGCTCGCAAGATTTCCGGAGGGGATGAGAAAGAAGACGGATAAAGCTCACAAGCTTTTCCAAGCAAACCCGCAGGTTATAGCTTTTCCAAAAATAACATTTCATTCAACTCCTTTAAAACATTACAAATCTCCCATATATATGGGTATGAAAGGGAATATCAAAAGACACATAACATTAATTTGCATAAGAACCTAAGCACCATGAGCACGGATATCCCCCCCATGCATCATGGAAAACAGCCCAAGCTCAGGAACCAAAGCAGCAGCTGCGGGAGACAAGGAGGCCGCACGGAACCAAGGAGCCATAGCCGCGGGAATCATCCCAGGCGTGGAAAACCAACAGCCAGTTGGAATCCCAATGGGAAAAGGCACAAAAAACAAAACCCATGGTGGAATCCAAAGAGCCACCGAATGGGAAAACGAAACAACATCTTGGAATTCCAAAAACCCATTTGGAAACCCAAGAGACAACTTAAATAAAGATATTAAAAACTATAATAAAAGTACATTAAATAAAAGATAACTATGAACTAAAACTTAGCTAATAATGAGCTAACCCTTAGTTCAATAAATGAACTAAAGACCAGCTCATAAATGAGCTAAAATTTCAACTCAAATTGATTGAGCTTGTAAACTCGAGGGAGGCCAAAATTGATTTATTTTGGACATGAGTTGACCCCCCCCCCCTTTGTCTACATCAGACTCCCCTTCTTGAGGACTCAGCTCCCGATGAGTCAGTTTAGTTGTCTTCCGAAGAGAAGAAGACGGAGCATCCAATTCCTTAATCAGGTTTTCATATATCTGCATGATCTCATATCGTTCTTTCAGAAATTTATCTTGTAAACGCTGCTTTTTCTTGAAGTACCTTTCTGTACGTATGTGCATCCATGATTGATGTTTGTATAGTTCATACTCCAGGGGATTTGCTGACTTTGATGGAATCCACCTATCCATAGGATCTTCAATTTCTTCAGGTTTGCTTTCTTCTGTCTTTTTGTCTTTTTTTCATTTTTTTGATGACTCAAACAAGACTTAAAAAAAACAAGACTCAAAGAAAGACTCAAAAGACTCAACCTAAACTTAGACTCACAGTAAGACTCACGACACAACACGACTTGACTTGAAAAACTAATTTGACAAATCAAAATTTGACGACCAAATCCTAGGACTTCCTAACTTGCTCTGATACCAAATTGGTGGAGGCAAGAAATATAGGGAGTCTATACCCCTCGCCCGCACAGGTGATAGAACCGAGCGACGACCCACTAAATCACGAAACAAAGATGAAGACTAAGATGAGGAAGAACAAACTCTTACATTTCAAATCTAAGACCGAATTAAAAACAAAATTACAACAACTTACAAACTCGACTCGAAATTAAAAGACATCCTAAAGTTGCTTTACTTAGAGAAGAGGGATACAGGTGGAGTGGCACTTGCGGAGAGACGAAAGAGATTAGAAGCCGAGATGAAAGGTTGGAAAGAGCTCGCAAGATTTCCGGAGGGGATGAGAAAGAAGACAAACAAAGCTCGCAAGCTTTTCCAAACAAACCCGCATGTTATAGCTTTTCCAAAAATAACATTTCATTCAATTCCTTTAAAACATTACAAATCCCCCATATATATAGGTATGAAAGGGAATATCAAAAGACACATAACATTAATTTGCACAAGAACCTAAGCACCATGAGCACGGAAATCCCCCCCCATGCATCACGGAAAACAGCCCAAGCCCAGGAACCGAAGCAGCAGCCGCGGGAGACAAGGAGGCTGCACGGAACCAAGGAGCCATAGCCGCGGGAATCATCCCAGGCGCGGAAAAAAACTAGTAGCCGGCCGGAATCCCAATGGGCAAAGGCACAAAAAACAAAACCCATGGTGGAATCTAAAGAGCCACCGAATGGGAAAACGAAACAATATCTTGGAATTCCAAAAACCCATTTGGAAACCCAAGAGATAACTTAAATGAAGATATTAAAAACTATAATAAAAGTACATTAAATAAAAGATAACTATGAACTAAAACTTAACTAATAATGAGCTAACTCTTAGTTCAATAAATGAACTAAAGACCAGCTCATAAATGAGCTAAAATTTCAGCTCAAATTGATTGAGCTTGTAAACGCGAGGGAGGCCAAAATTGATTTATTTTGGACATGAGTTGACCCCCCCTTTGTCTACATCATAAAGTACTAAAAATACCATTGTAAGATGCCATTCTAGCTAGTAATAATGTCAAGTGAGAGCTTAGAAGAAATTGCTTTGCAAATTTAGGCAATCAAGGATATCCATTCAAGCCCCAAATAATATGTTTGGTTTTATGTGGGAGCAAGCGTATCAAATGCAAAAATGTCTATGCCCAAAAGATAATGCAACGCGCAAGAGTTTTTTTAACTATGAAAAGCGAAGTGCTGACAAAGCAACCAGTTAATTGAAGCAAGCATATCACATAGAACATGAGATAGTATTATACGATTCACCAAGTTTCATAGAAATCATATTTATGAAATACAGTATGACATTTTAAGTAAAATATTAACAAGGAAATATTAGCAAGCATATTCACAACGATTCCCCTACACTGCTAGCTATATAGCGTGGCGCACATGTTCAAGCTGGCACGCGCCATTTGCGCCCAGTGTGCGCAATGGCGCAAGGTGAGCACAATATGAATTTAGGGTAATATAATTATAAATAGTTTGTAATATTTATATATTTTAATTTGTGAAATAATGTAATAATTAATTTTAAAATTATTTGATATGATTAAAATAGTTTAGTTATGTTTTATTAAACTTTATTTTAGTAAAAATTTTGGATTAACTTGAAGCTCATTTTAATGGTTTGGACTTTGGATCACAAACATATTCAACCAAGCCTTACCCAACTTAATTGATACACTAAAATATGATTCACATAATGATTTTTATAATTTTTTTTATTTTATACCGTGTGCTATGGGTCATGGCTCCACGGGAAACTTTACGCCGTGGTGTGTCTTTCCCCGTTGACAACTATGCTCCCCATACCTCTTTTTCTCTCTCATTCTTTCTTCCTCCAACCCGTCGGCCTAGAAGAAACCCAAACTTTCATTCTAAAATGATATCATAAGAAGTTTTGATAATGATATACTAATAGCAATCTCATACAAATACTATCACAGTATCACATCATCCATATCATGTTATCATCAATGTGCGTGAATGTTTATAACATTTATCACTACAAATGCACAACCAAATTTAGCATTGGTGAGGTCTTCGCCACACAATTGAACATATCTGTTACAAGGTAGACTCTTCACTTTTGGAGTTTTGGTACATAAAAAGAACAGTCGATTCCATGCTGAAGCAACATGATATAAAATAAATTATTAAAAAAATAAATAAACTAGTTGCATACGGCAATTGTGCAAATCACAATAACGTGTCCTCATGGTCAAATAATATTTCAATCATATAAATGATGGAATTTGAATAGATAAAAAAATAAATATCGAGTATAAAAGTTTATAGCAAGCTCAATGGCAGATACTAGAAACTCCATATAAAAGAAATAGAAAGAATATGGGTAAGAGTTGCACAAGCACTATCAACATGATATCCAACAACATAGTTTGCAAAAAACGATAGTTACAATTAAGCTAATACACATGTAAAAGCAATAGCACGTATGCAATGAAATACACTTATGGGTTGTTTGGCAACAGGATTTAACAGGATTTATGCAGGATCTGAGCCTAAATCCTGCCAAACGAGATTTGAGCGTCCGGTAAGTCTCACGGCGGAATAAATCCTCCGTTTCCCTCTTTTTCCCGTAAATTCTGGATTTACTAAATCATGTAGTTCGGAGGATTTACGGGATTTGGCTAAAGAAGCGCGCGAAAGGGATAAAGATGGTTACCTTCGCAGCGAGCAAGCTCCCGTCGTAACCTCCGATCCGACGCCCTCGAAGGAGGCGAAGAAGCTTCTTTAGCGATTCTTTCAACACCACTTAACGCGAAGCCTTCAAACTACTTCACGCGACGCGCGCGACGGCCGAAGCAGCCCGAAGAAATGGCGACGAGGAAAAGCGATAACGGAGAAACGGAGAAAGAAAAGAAAACCTTAGGTTAATTAACTAATTAGTAATTAAAATTTAAAGTAAATAGTTTAATTTTATAATTTCTAATAGAAATTATTATTATATAACATTATAAATAATAATTAAATTGTTAATTAGTAGTAGAATATTCAAAGAATTAATGATATAAATAATAATTAAAACTAATTAAATAATATTTTAAAATTAATTAAGTTATTAGTATGAGTATTAATTAAATAATTAGTTATTTTAAAAATAATTAACTAACTAAATAGAAAATTATTAATATAATTAGATATCAAATACATAATAAATTAAAACATCGTTTTTTTAGTAACCATCTAATCACTCATAATAAACAAAGAATCACATAGAGTTCTTATTCTAACCTACACACATTTGCATTGGCTCACTATTTAGTTTAATTTCATTTTCTCATATTCCATGAAAAAAATCAAATGCAAGCTATTTTTGTCATAAACTTGCCTTAAATAAGAATCTACCCTAAATTCGCCCTACACAAGGTAACACCCCAGGATCAAAATTGGAACAATTCTCTATTTTATTTTTTTAATTAATCAACTAGAGCTTCTATAAACTATTTAAATAATAAATCTATATTCAATAAAAGCAACTAACAATTGTATATCTTAAAATATTGCACTATATTTATTCTCCCACAATTAATATGCAATAGTCAGGAGATTAATATAATTACTACTCTATCTCAAACTCATGACTATAATAGAATATGAAAAAAAAAATATATAAACAAAATTCAAAGAAAACCTAAGGATCTCTACTTAACTCACTCCAATTAGTCCCGACCCCTTCCGTATCCTGAAATCATAAAATCGATATAATGACCATAAAAGCCCACCAATTAATAAAATCTCTATCATTGCTTTCAATGCAAGTCAAAAGAATCAACATATATGTTCAATTATAGTCAATATTAATTTTCAATTAATATGAGCAATAGAAAATTTCAAAATATAAAATAAAATCAATATGATCAGTAAAGTCAAAAGAAACCTATCAAATTATAAAACATATGATAAATAATATTATCACCAAATAAGTTAATTAGGTCAGTATGTTATGCTATGTTGTATTGACACGATCTCAATAATATATATATCAATTAATTAATATACTATCATATAAATGCAATCATTAGTATAATTATAAAAATCAAGGCAAAACAATCCAGCTTTAATGTGATGATTTCTTCTTTACATATATTATATGTTGTAGCTATCCATTTGTCAATCTTATCTTATATTTCATTTATTTTTATTAATCATTTATTTTCACAAGCGACTTTTAATAATCATTTAAGAGTTGTCACCTTCTATTTGTCGGCGTAATTTAGTCAATCAGTTACATGCTACAACTAGGATTGCACCACAAACCTTTTATTTAAAGAAAACCCCATTATAATTTACTAGCCAACATGTATTCATTATAGTGTTAACAACTAGTCTTCCATTGCTTACAAATGCTATCTTTCGTATGTCGAATAAGTCAATATCATGTATGAAATATATAAATTTATAAATACAGGAAAATCTATCAAATTTATCTACTATGCATTTACTTGGAAAAATCACAACTTTTAATTTAATGGGTGAAAATTTAATATGTTCAAGTCAAAATCCTCATATTTATGTTATCTATCATATACCAAAAGCTATGTGGTGAAAGTTTTACCAATACAAAATTATTCTCATTTTTTTGTTACGGAATACAAATTTTATAATAAAAAATAAAAAATGTAAAATTATTGAAATCAGAAATAGGGTCATTGTTCCTTACAGTGATACGAGCAAAATTTTCAACTTGGTCAATTAACAAAAATTATTCTACGGCCTCCAAATCCTAGCTTTATTTTTCTTTATCCTCTCTTTTCTCTCAATTTTTTTCATTGCTTTCTCTGGTTTGGGAAAACGAAAACCAAATGAGGCAAATGAGATTTTAAATATACTGTCTTAAGGTACTATAATAAAATTAATATAATTATATAATTTAATAAATATTCATAAATTAGTTTATTTTATTTTGAAAATACTGGTGAAATCTGTTTGAAAAGGAACTTATGACGGTCCCAAAATCTTCACTTGTACAGATATGTGTCAATTTCTTAAAGATTTGCATCAAGACTAAAGAATTATGAAAAAATTAGTGTAATTAAAACACATCTTATAACGAAGACGATTTATGATTTGGACTTAAAATTGTCTCCTACAAATTTTTTATTTATGTATAAATACAAGTTATTTCAAGAATATTTTCCAATAATCAATATTAATAAACCCAAAAAAACTATTGGCTAGTTACCACATAACTATTTTGACCCTATAGAATTTTAAATCCTGTCAAACACATAGCTCACATTGATCTGTTGTTGGTTATGAGTTTTATCTATCTACCAAGATGACTTGGATCAAAACTTATGTATGTGTTAGTGCCTTAATTGGCTCAAAAGTCCCAAAAAATCCTACCAAACAGTAAAAAAAGCAAAACTTAAAATCCTCCTTGAAATCACAAATTTACTAAATGCAAAGATTTAACAAGTTTAAGTTAAATCTACGTATCTCACAAACTCATCTTCTTCCTTACACACTGTTGGTCCACTATAAGCCTTCCCTAACGAGCACTCATGTCGGTTTATTCATTTATTTGTCGTCGAAGATTCTTGAAACTTGGGTCATGAGGAGAGAGAGGTTTTGGGGATGTTTTGTGATAAGTTTAAACTAATTAAAATTATATTATCTTAAGGGTTTCCCCTAAACCTATATCTTAAAAAAAAACTATGCCAAACTATTATGTGAGATGATGCACTAAGGGCTATCATCAAATAATGTAAATCAAGTGATCATATTCAGGTGATGTTTTTATATAGTCCAATGATAATAGTTGACATATAATAGTCGAGCAATGTTGGTTGGATGATTGTAGTTTGGAGATCATAGTTGAGCAACGTTGGTCTGATGATCATAATTGAGTGATAGTTGTCAGATGGTGGAATTCATATGATAATAGTCTGCTAGCCGCATGTTGGTGGATCTAGATTGTGGTCGAATGATGGTTAAGTTATAGTCCAACAACTACAATTGGATAGTGGTCCAATAGTGGTGCCTGGGCATGATCTGATAGTGGTCTGATGGTAGCGATAAGACGATGTTCATATGGAAACGATCAAGCGATCATTCGCCGGTGGCAGTTAGGTGGTCCTCCGATGGAGTTCCAAGATATTTAAGTCTCTAAGCCCTCTTGAAACTGTAGCCAAATGTCATCTTTATGTAGAAAATTATGGTCTATTTATAGTTTTTTTAGTGGCATGCTTTGTAAATAGAAAATTTTAAATACTCTATCGAGCAACCTGTATTAATTCCTTTGATCGTATACTATGTTTTTAGTATTTAGGTTCCTTAATAATGACAAAATTAAGCAATATTGGGCTCACTGAATTTGTCTCGTCGAGAAGCTCGATTTTTCATAAGCATGTTAGATTTAGAGATCAGTTGATCTTCCATTTGTGCCTCAAAGTTTTTGATTATTTTTTAAGTTCTTCCTCTGAGCTCACTCATAATAGAATCATAACATTCTTAGCGCTGATAGGTTTGTGACATCAAGATGTTCAACTTAACTACAATTTGTTGAAATCAGAGTTTGGATGATTATGAATTTAATTTCGAAAGTTTTCATTTCAAATAGATATCTAAATCCGTGCTAGATTAAGTCAAATTTTTATGACATGTCAAGTTAAGTCTTCTTCAAATAACTTCATTAGAAAGTTAAGCTTTGCTCTTTTTTAGGGTATCATCCTACTTAAAATTTTGAGAAAAAAATTTAGATTAGATACCTTGACCAATTTTTTTTGTTAGAACCATATCTATTAGATTTTAATTGATTATTCATTATCGCACTTCTCTTAATGTAAATCCAACGACTTTACCATCGATCATAACCAAATTTTAGTTCGGATACCCTAACCCAAATTTTAAACAAATTCACCATAAATCATCCATACATCATTCATATATTACATATTAAATATTGATTACAATTTAATTGCTCACTAATTACCATATATCTCATCAAGAAGACTAAACAACTCCTTAAACATGGCCACAACTTGCTTAATCTCTTTGCTCATCTCAGCTAAAGGAATTAATTGAGACATGCATCCAAGGAATCAAAATATGAGAAAATGACAAGGGAATTTTGGTCACTGATGATCAGGCACTTAAAAAAGAGATTCTATACAAGTTTTCCAATTATAAAGGGATTCAAGTGATAGAAAAAAATATACTGGATATAGCTCAAGCAATGTGTGGAAATGAATTCACTCTATCCTCAGATCTTTCTGAGCTGCTGCTTTCAGGCAATATGGATATGGAGGAATATATAGTACTGCTGATGTGAAATAGTGAAGAAGATAATGAAATATGAATAGCTGTGTGACATTGACAAATTCTTTGGTGGGTTTTTATGGTTGTTTTTGGTTGAAGATTTTTTAATTTTAAGAGTTATTTATTTAGTTTTGATTGTAGGATTAATATTGTAAGTTTATTATGGAGATGATTTTGATTAATTGAGTTAGTTTAATTTTATGATGGGATTATTAATTAGATTATCATTATCATTAGGTTTATTCTGATTATTTAGGCTTTATTTGATTGGATTGAGGAATAGAGGAGTAGTTGAGATGAAATTAAAAAGATTTTTTTTTTGGATTGAATGTAAATTATTTGCATCCATGTATTTGAGATTTTCACTTTTTTTCTTTATTTCGTTTTGCTCTAATTCCTAGCACCCAAAGGCTTTCTTAGGTTTAGGCTTTGTTTGTGATTGTTTTCTTACTGCTTTCTAAAACAATTTTTTAGTACAAAAAATTTCAGTTAAAAAAGTTTTTTAATTAAAAAGCTGTTTTAAAAAAGCAATAAAAAAGCTATCCCAAATGAAGTCTAAGGCTTCGTTTGAGCTTCATTTGGGATATCTTTTTTACTGCTTCTTAAAGCAATTTTTTCATACAAAAGTTTTAATTTTTGTACTAAAAAATTATTTTAAGAAGTACTAAGAAAATCATCTCAAACGAAGCCTTAGTTATATGCTTCATCTTTTTATATTCAATTATATTTAGTACCACATGAATTGATAACTTAAATTTATTGATTTTTTTCTTGCAATACTATTTGAGTAGCCATTTATGATCTTTTTTGGGTAGACTTCACAAGAGTGGTAGAGCTAGAATTATTTTCCGGCGGGGACACAAATTGATTATTTTAAAAATAATATTAATATTCTTTTATATAAATCTCTAAAATTTTTGAGAGGGCATAAATTGAATATTTCTATTAAATTTATATTTACATAGGTAAAAATATATTATATATAAAGATATATATATATCTTAAAATTTTGAAGGGATTAAATAACCCCTTATGGCTTCTTAATTTGCCTTTGCAGTCCCACTAATCTTGCATATTATTATCTCACCCTTGATATTATTAGTTCTTACTTTTCTTGCAATATGCTTAGGAAATCTAAGTTTATTTCTCTATAATCTTTAGTTTTTATATACTACAATTCTCAAAAAAGATTCTATGATGCATTAACTAACAATATGATAGCTAATATAGCACTTTATTAATTCAACAAATATATAAATTTATAAAAAAAATTATAGCAAAGTTAATTTGATGTTGCAGCTTTTACTAATTATCAATTTCATATCTACTAGAATTTATAATCATTTACCTTCTATATTAATAAGAAGCTCCTTATCTTCTAATTTTTTTCCCACTACTTTTAGCCTTTTTTTTTCACTTCAAAAGGAATCTCAAATCATATTTTATAATCAAGGTATCTATAAGTATTCATCTTTTATAAGCACTTTTATAACTACTACTAATTAATTATAATCATTTGATTAAGAACATTATGATTCATGCTTAAATAATCTTTGCACAATGAAATTCAAGCAAGCTCATGACCCTTCTAGGCTTCTAGCCATTGCACCCAACTTTCTAACTGCTTTCTATAGCATCTTTCTAGCACAAAAATTTCTTCTTGAATTAAAATTTTTTGCACTAAAAAGTTATTTTAGAAAGCAATAAAAAAATTGTTCCAAATTGCTTATAATATAGCATTAGAAAGCAGTGGTTGCTGAGTATTATATATAAAAAAAAATCTCATTGAAATTAATTATTATAATATAGCATCAGAACTATTCATCCATAGAACAGTATATGCTGAACTCTTTCTTGCTTGCTGCAATTACCTTAATTGTCTCATTCCTTCAATCCCAAGCTTCATTTTTCTCCTGTTCTTCTAATCCTGACTTCATTGGATTCATAACAAATCAACAAAATACTGCAAATTCAGAAGAAATGCAGAACCATTCATGCACAGAAGTAAGAAAGTAATACATTTCCTTCCTCTTTCTTCCCATATGAACCATTTCATTAGCAAACACTCTGAAGTTAATAACTTGGTGTTTCTTTCCTTGCAAAACCGAGGAGTTGAGAAACACATAAAGATGGAGGAGAGAAGGGAGACAAACGTAACTTAAGCACTCATATATCTATAGTAACTTACTTAGCCTTTCACTGAAAGTCTGTCATTATTATTATTATTATTACTATATATGTCTGATAGAGTTAAAGCCAAAGGGCTCCTGCATCTCTTAAGAGGGGGACTAACTTGCCACTTAGATGTAGAGACATAACCTTATCTGTTGATCCAATAAGTTTGCCACCAATGAACACAGCAGGCACAGAAGGGGTTCGATTTAGAAGCTTAGACAAAGCCTTCTCCATCTCCTTCCCTCGATCTTCCTCGTCGAGCTCGTAAACCGCAGGGTTCACACCAAGCTCACATATTAGCCTCTTCACTGTGTGGCACATACAACACGAGCTAGTGCTGAAGATCACCACTGCTCTCTGGGACACCAATTTGTTTATCTTATCCATGTTGGAGAAACAAGCACTTGTGGAAAGTAGTTGGAATAAGTGTTTGGCTTTGGTTGGAATGAAATTTAGAAGTCCTGTAACCCTTTTTATAGGCATGAGAAGGAGGGATTGGACATAAAAATATACAAATTTGATGATGGATTTGAAAATGATTGGTTTGGTTACTGCTTGGTTTTGGATATCAAGTATGAAACTTGGGACAGGATAATGTAAGCTTTGCTTTTTGGTATGGGACAAAGGTGGCTTGGTGTATTGGAATATATGCGAAAAGAACCCACTCTGTGAAAGTCAGATGACAGAAATAGACTTATGGATATGGGATTCTTAGGCTAGTGAGGTCGGCGATATGTGATATCAATGGCTAAATGCGCACAAGTGGATAACTTGTAGCTTCCGGCCGTTGTATCTTAGGATGATTACTTAAGGTTTCGTTTGGGATAGTCTTCTGACTATTTTCTAAAGCAGGTTTCTAGTACAAATGTTTTTTGTCATTCTAGCTAGAAATTTTGTGCTAGAAAACTGCTTTATAAATCAATAAGAAAGTAGTCCCAAACGAAGTCTAAGCCTTAGTTGATGAATGCTTATTGAAAATTTTCTAACTCGTATTAAGAGCTACTTTGTAATTCTTATTGTTATTTGATTAATGTTTATTCTATGCTTATTTGTACCTTATTGTGTTCTAAAACGTTCTATATCAGCAACCATCTTATGGTCTTTTGTTTTTAACCATATCAGTTTGTGTTGGAATTTAAAAGATATTGTGTCATGATCCGGCCAAAAGACTCAAATTAACGAGGCAGGAACTGATAATCGGACGGTTAGTACATTTCCTACATTTACACATAATAGTATTGACTAATATTTCACAAACACTATAGAGCCACTAAAAAGTTATATATTTGTTCATGAACACAAATCAGTTTTTTTTTTTACCTGGTATCATTCAAGCGCCTTCTTTTGTACACAAATTCCCCTCTTTCAGCCATTTCTACTTATCAAGAGACTTATTTGAAAATTTTAGTTTAACAGTTTAAATTTACATGATAAAATTAGTGAAAATCATCATTTCATATACAAAAGTTAATCATATAAAATAAAACATGTATGTTTCTTTGCCTTTCTTTCACAATTAATATATGCAAAATATTTATATATAATTATATAACTTATTTTATATTATGTTTCATTTATTCGATTTTTATTTAACATTTATTTTTTTTTCAAGTTCAATTAGTACATAAGTACTGTCTAAATGTACAATAATTTTCATTTTCTTTTTTATTTTAATTTAATGTGTACGGATACGTTGCTTACCCAACCTGTATCATAAAGGGAGAACTCTTGTAATTGGGAAAATTTTTAAAAGGATCGGGTTTAAAAAAAGAATTAAGAGAAGGAGCATAATATAATTTTAATTTAAAAAGGAGCAAAAACGCACTGCAAAATCACGTTTTGTTAGAAAACACAAAAAAAAAAATTGCGTTTTAACAGAAAACATTCAATAGAGGATGGAAAGAGAGAGACGCACAAACTTTTAGCTTTTTTTAAATTACATAATAAAATCCGGTTGAAATCCTTAAGCTTTTTTTTCATATTATTAGAGGTGGAAAGAGAGAGAGACACACAAACTTAATTTCATAATTTTAACTTAATTTAAATTTTAAATAAAATTATTTTTAACTTCTTTTTAACTTTTTTTTTAAACGCAAAAAATAATTTTATTTAAATATTAAAAATATTTTTATTTAAATATATTAAAATAAGGTTCAACCGGAATGTTAATAAAAATTTTAAAATTTAAATTTAAATAAATTTTCATTCTCTGTTTCTCTCTCTCTCCATTTGTGCCTCGCTCTCTCTCCTTCTCCATTCATCTCTCTCTACTTTTCTCTCCCTCTCTCTCTTTCCATCCTCTAAAAACCTGAAGAAAAAAAAACAAAAAAATTTCAGATGGAATTTAAAATATTAAAAAATTGAGTTTTAACAGAAAACACAATTACTGTTCACGTTTTCTGTTAAAACGCAATTTTTTTTTGCGTTTTCTAACAAAACGTGATTTTGCAGTGCGTTTTTGCTCCTTTTTAAATTAAAATTATATTATGCTCATTCTCTTAATTCTTTTTTTAAACTTGATCCTCTTAAAAATTTGCCCCTTGTAATTTGGATACATATATATTTAATATTGGATATAGGCCGGTTCAATTGAACCAACCAGGCTCTATTAGATCCAGTACTTAATAACATATTGTTCGATTGTGAGGGAAAAACTTTGCTTCCCATTCCAAATATTTCCCTGAATAAACATATTATCTTGCAAAATAGCTAGAAGTGAATGTCACGAGTATCACCCTTTCGAAGGAATTTTTATTGCGTCCTCCCACCTGACGTAGAGATACGTCCTTTCAGAACTAAAATCGCGCTAAAAAACGAGAAATACCGAGCAATACCAAACAATAATGAGGAATATCATCATGTGAAGACCAATACCGAGTTATACCGAGTTATACCGAGATATACCGAGCAATACAAAAAAAAATACATAGTTTTTCCTAGAAATAACTCGGTATTTTTTTGTATTGCTCGGTATTGCTCGGTATAGCTTGGTATTGATCTTCACATGATGATATTCCTCGTTATTATCAAATAATACGTAGCAATACCGAGCAAAAACCGAGTTTTTTGGTGGTGGGAGGACGCAATAAAAATTCCTTTCGAAGGGTTAGAACTTAGAAGATTTTTCGCTTGATTTCTTATAGCCAAGGTTTGCTATCTCAGCAACACAATCAACTTCTACAAGTAAATGAAAATAAAAATAAAATAAAATGGAAGTATCAATAAAGTTGTTTTTGGAGTTGGGACATAAAAAATTACAGCTGAAATTGATATCATAAGGTAATTAATGCCTAGAAGTATGGAGCTCGTGGATATGCGAGAAGACAAATGGCAAGAATTTATATAAACAAATACATGGGAAGTCATTTAGTGAATTGGATATCATTTTTAGGCTTCGATTGGGACAGTTTTTGACCATTATTTCGTTATAGTTTTCAACTATAGATTTTTCTAACCAAGTCTTTTTTGGTTACATCTACCCTTCTTAACATAAGTCAAATCTATACATCTACTTTCCTAATCGGGTCATCGGATGGTCGCCGTTTTATGTGACCAAACCATCTAAGGCGACTCTCTCTAATTGTCTTCTAGTGGAGCTACTCCAACCTTTTCAAGTATATACTCATTTCGTGTCCCGTCTCTAAGAGTAAAGTCACTCATCCACTTGAGCATGCTCATCTCTGCAACACTTAACTTAATTTTATGCTTCTCTTTTAATAGCTAACATTCTCCACCATAAAGCATTATAGGTCTGACCTTTCTTTCACTTAAATTTGAGAGGGATTTTTCTACCACACAACAAGTCTGATGCATTCGTCCACTTCAACCATCCAACTTGAATTCTACTAATAATATCTCCATCTATTTGATCATCACTCTCAACACAACAATACAAAATAAATAAATAACATCTCATTCTTCTTTTCTTAATAAAGTATTTCATTCTGCACTTCCCTATGCTCATAACAAAAAAAGCTCTTTCATTCATGTCAAAATATTTCCAGTAACTTCATAAAAAATACAATTTGAACTCTTATTATTAGGAATAAAATAAAATTTAAATATCTTTACATGAAATTTTCACTGCAGTATCAAAATTCTGGTTTTAAGAATCTAACTTATAGTGCTCCAAGAATAACTTAATGGTCCTTCTTCCTATAGCAGAAACAGACTGAAAGCTATTTTCTGTACGGACGACACTTGATGAATAACTTTAGAGAATCAAATCCATCTAAATGGAATCATCATCCTCACAAGTTTTAAGAGGGATTATTTCAGTCTCAAACTATCTCATGTGTCTAATTTAAGCTTGGTTTGAGACGGTTTCGTCTAAAACAGCTTTTTAGTACTAAAAAGTTTATACTAAATAAATTTGTACTAGAAAACTACTTTAAAAAGCAGTAAGAAAGTCGTCCTATTAGGCTTTATTTGAGATTGCTTTTTTGCTACTTTCTAAAGCAATTTTTTAGTATAAAAATTTCTTGAAACACAGCTCACCTTGGCATGTTGGTTGAGAGCTTAGACTTCCAACTAAGAGGACTTGGGTTCGAGTCTTTATGTATGCATTGAGTGTATGAATTTGCCTTAAATGGCCTAAATATCTAAAAAAAAAAAATCTTGAACTTTAAAAACTTTTTTAAAAAAGCACAAAAAAAAAAAGTTGTCACAAACAAAACTTTAGACATTTAACAACTGATTCAAATTAGTTATTTTGACTCGTCAAATAAATACAACATTGAACAGAGGGATTACTTTGTATTGTATTTGAGAAGTCAATGGACAAAAAGCTTTATCTCGGATAACTTTCTTGTTGTTTTCTACAGTAGCTTTTTAATAAAAAAAATTCTTAAATGCAACGAAAAAGTAGTGGTCAAAAGCCACCCCAAATGAAACCTTAATTGAACACATTAATGACCTGAGATTCATGCTTCATTTGGGATAACTTTATTTCTGCTTCTTAAAGCAGTTTCCTAGTACAAAAATAATTTATTTATTTATTTTTGTACTAAGAAGCTGCTTTAAAAAGCAATAAAAAGGCCGTCACAAATGAAACCTCAGATAATCTTATATGAAAAATAGTTGAAAGACTATATTCATCTTTTTCTTTTAATTTATATGAACCCTACTGATTGTTTGGTGAAGCAAGTTGATGGTTTCAGAGGGAAAAAAAAGACAAAATGGCTTTTGCATTCTTTCTTATCCTTAATTTGGTTCTTTGGGTATCTGAAAAAGCTTATATGCAAAGCAAAAGATTTGCGTCAGCGTATGTGAGGAAGGAATAAGACCCATTTGAGAATCTCTTTCTTGCCTATCTGAGCACCATTTGTGATGCTGCGAGCCGTTCTCGTGCTCTTCTCTTTATCCTTTTTTTTTTTTATCTGTGTTATCCGTATCTTTAGTTCAGGACCTGATATGATAACCAATCATAGTTGACATTCTTCTTACCACTTAGAAGAAGTTG